TTAGTAAGCTTAATATATAGCGATTATAATACAGTTTGAATTATAACAATCCATGTAGTAATAGTTGAGAAACACTACCTCAAAAACATACTAGAATTGTAGGTTTACGAGGTTCTGTGGGTCACGTGGGGCACACTTCTATATGGCTCTGCTCTGTTTTGTAGTCACGCTCGTGATGAGAAACATAAGCTGACAATCCTGGCGTGAAATACGCGTTGCGCCGGCAGTGCAGTTTGGGCGATCACTTCGGGTCCTGTTCTCGAAGTCCAGACCAGGTCAGGATTCTCCAGGGAATCTGAAGTTTCCCCAGCTCACAGTGAAGCCAATGCAGCGCCCGCGGCAGTCTACCAGCCCCACGTGAGACGTTCCCCAGAAAGCATGTTTACGGACCGCCAAACTTCACGTTTCGGCCCTGTTCGTTGGCATGGTGTGAGATTGGGGAAGTCGGAGACAAGAGATGCTAGTGCATGCCAAGACGCGGAGGTACAAGGAGGATCACCGGCGAATTTTACCGCAAGTAAATAATTTCGCCGGCGGTTCTCAGTCTCATCTCATCTCCTGCCAGATCTGCTCTGAGGTCGGGCCGGCTGGTGCAGCTGCTTGCAGCTGTGTGAAGCTATCAACCATTCTGAGCGACATCGCGGGGACCAAGCATGAAGCTATAGGATGTGGCAGGATGACGAGCATCACATGTGCGGTACGTTGAGGGTTGGCAAGGGTATCCAGCGATGATCGTCGATAGGTAGGTACTGAAGGTGTTTCCTTCACGAGATTGTACTACCTTTTCTCAGCTCACACAATCCCATTCTCCTCATTCATCTAATCACCTGTAAAGAAGACAGCTCAGTATGCCAGGAAGATTGCTAAAAGGAGATGCTGATGCTTGGTGGAAAGAGGGAGTTGTCTACCAGATCTACCCTGCAAGCTACAATGACAGCAACAACGATGGCATGGGAGACCTTGAAGGTATTATCCAAAAGCTGGATTACATCAAGAGCCTTGGAGTGGCTATAGTGTGGATCTGCCCACACTTTGACTCGCCACAGGTTGACATGGGATATGGTAGGTAGTTAGCACAAAAACGCTTGGGCACTTGCTTACCTACTTCGCCTAGACATCAGCGATTACCAGGCGATCTATCCTCCGTATGGGAACCTGGATGATTGCGAACGACTTATCAAAGAGTGCCACAAGAGGGATCTGAAGATCATCTTTGATCTAGTCGTTAACCATACTTCGAGCGAACACAAGTGGTTCAAAGAGTCTCGCTCGTCCAAGACAAATTCGAAACGAGATTGGTACATTTGGAGACCAGCCAAATATGACTCGCAAGGAAACCGCATTGCACCAAACAACTGGCGCGGGAACTTCAGTCAGCCAGCCTGGACATGGGACGAAGAGACGCAAGAATACTATCTCCACTTGTTCGCGAGGGAGCAGCCTGACCTCAACTGGGAGAATCCTGATGTGAGGAAAGCCATTTGGGAGGACATCGTCGAGTTCTGGCTGAAGAGAGGCGTCAATGGCTTCCGCGTGGACACTGTGAACATGTACAGCAAAGGTGACATGAAGGATGCCCCAATCACTGATCCTGGTGCAGAGGCCCAACCCGCTGGTCTTCAGTATTGCAACGGGCCTCGTATGCATGAGTTCCTCTCCGAGATGAATGCTGTCATGAAGAAATATGGTGCCTTCACAGTCGGCGAATGTCCCAACACACCAGATATGGCCAAGGTGATCAAATACGTGTCGGCAGCAGAGAAGCAGCTGGATATGGTCTTCCAGTTCGATGTCGTGGACGTTTCTCGTGAGTGCGGAGTCGACCCGAACGTGGAACCAAGCTTCTCTCTTGCTCAGTTCAAGGAGGCGATTGCTAGAACCCAAGAGATCATGGAACATCCGGACGCATGGACTACCGCCTTCTTGGAGAACCACGATCAGGCCCGATCGATCTCTCGTTTCGCATCCGATGCACCGGAGTTCCGCGACGCCAGCGCCAGAATGCTTGCCCTATTTCTCGTCACCCTCAGCGGAACACTCTACGTGTACCAAGGGCAAGAGCTTGGTCTTCGCAATGTCCCACTCTCCTGGCCGATTGAAGAATACAAGGATCTATCATCTCAGAACTGGTACGAGTACATCAAGCGTACCCACAACGGCGACGAGAAGACTCTCGCAGGGACAAAGCGCGCTTTACAACGTCTGGCAAGAGACCATGCCAGGGTTCCAATGCAATGGGACTCTTCCATGAACGCAGGCTTCTCCCAAGCAGAGCCCTGGATGCGTGTGAACGATGACTATGAGTCGTATAATGTTGCTGCTCAGGAGAAGAATCCCAAATCGGTCCTGGCGTTCTGGAAGGATATGATTGCTCTTCGCAAAGAGCACAAGGAGTTGTTTGTGTATGGCCAATTCAAGCTCTTGGATGCCGAGAATCCAAACACTTTCACCTTCTCGAAAAGGTACGGGGATAAAGAGGCGATTGTCGTACTCAACTTCACCACGGAGGAGCAGGAGAGCGGCGTCGAAGCTGCTTATAGCTCAGCGAAATTGCTCCTGAGCTCCGGTGGAAGCAATGCTGGGCAGAAGCTGGCTCCTCTGGAGGGAAGAGTTTACGTGATCTAAGGAGACATCTGTGGGTGCTCATGATAGTAATAGCGCGCTTGACGATGGTCTTGGCACTGTCCGGAGGCCGGCAGACCTTTTGATGATTCTCTGCGATTGGAGCGTGTGTTGGAGCACGTCGGAGCTGGCCAGGTGATAGATTAGAGCGGACTCGATCCGATTGCTGTAAAAGTCGTGAATCGTTCTTCTGCCATACTCGTTGACGCGTCGGTATGCGCGGACGGTCGTTTCCTTGTCCCACCCAGGCCACCTTCAGAAAGTTAGCAAGCACTGGAACGCTGAAACGATTGTAAGTCGGTGCCACTCTCTCGTTCTCCAAATTCACTTCAAGTGCAGAGCAGTGCGGTGTAACTCTTCCCTTTCCGCTGTCGAACACAGGGCCAGAGTCACAAGGCTTACTGTATTCCGGAAGCTGGACGGAGGCGGTCATTCGTTGGCAGTGGGGCCTGATGTCCCACATAATCTCCCGTCCTCCCGCGTTACTTTCTTTCCCGTCGTGAGATTCTTTTGCCAAAGCTCCGCTGACCCTTCGCGGTAGCATTTTCACTCGGGTCCTATAGCATACTCCTTCTCAGATCCACCAAACTTCATCTTCAGCCACAGGATATCCGCCATGTCCCCGAGATACTCTCGCGCTCCGTCATGCAAGCGGAACTTACAGACGGGCGCACCACAGTCCTTCACGTCGCCAGATTGATCGATGTTGTGATTTCGACCCAGCTCAAACCTCCACATGATGGTCTGCACAATTTCGGAGTCGTCATCGACAGACAACGTTCCCTTCATTGTGGCATAACGTTCGTCTACGAACGCCGGCAATCCAGTCCGATCAGCAATTCCTTGAATCAGCTCGGTGAAGCGGATTTGGGCGCCAGTGTCGACGTATGCCTGCCAGATGCTGTTCGGTCCAGTATAATCTCGGGTGAAATTCAGTACACCAGTAGCAACACGGGCTGCGTCGTAGTTGTAGGGCCTGTTCTCGCTATATCGTAATCATCTCGAGAACTTATCGCGGACGATCGTACGGTCCGTAATTCCGCGACTACCCCATCGCTGGCCGAATTGTTGTGCTGCGACAAGTAGCTTCTTGATGCCATCGTCGCCGACATCTTGGCAGCGCACAGGAAAGGGGCCATGCACCAGAAACTTAATCTTCAAAGGCGCCTTGGCTGTCAAGATTGCATGGATCTTCTCCGACTGCGGAGGGTTGATTCTACGTCCAGCGTCCGAGTCCGAGAAGACTCTCATTGCTGCCTCACGATGATTGAGTTGCTCGCCACCTTTCAAGGTCTTCCCGCGGTTGAGGTAGCTCGACGAAGCAAAGAGGAACGCAAGATCGGCCAGGTTGTCTGCGACTATTAGCAGTAATCCCTTGTAAAGACGGGAGCATGAAGCTTACCAGGCTCGACGGCGGCTGCGCTCTTAACAGTAATTACCAGAGATGAGATCGTATCCCGCTACTGCATAGAGATCTTGTCAAGCGCGCGCTGAGCTGCGCACTGCCGCAACGTATGGGGATTGTCCAGGTCCAAGCCGTCGTCGATGGCGACTGTCATGTTGTTGAAGACAAGATTGTACTGCGAACGGCGCAGGACTGGTGTCCATGCGAGGAACTGTGGCATAGCCTGACCGAACACCTGTTGGCCTTTTCTGCTTGCTTGATACTGAAGGACGCCGGGACGAGCCAGGCGCGGAAGACCAGTTGAGAGTAGCGGAAGTGCTCGATCAATATCGGCGGTCCCTCTGCTTTTCTCCCACTCGTCGAGAAGGGCGAGTGTAATTGCGTTCAATAGGGCTCCGTCGGCCTCAATCAATCCCCAAAGCTCTTCGCTGCTACGCGTTCCAACGAAGACTGGATGTGAAGTTGCGGCTGGTGTCTAGTGAATCGCCGGTGCGCCGGTGATCGTGGACGAGGGCATAGTCTGTGAGTTTGCAAGAGGCATTAGCAGAAAGCGCTCGTGGCAGGGAGTGTTGATGTGAACATATCGCAGGTGTGCTCGTAGACGGTTCCGAGTCGCACGTGCCGATAGCAATCGCTAGTCTGAGCGAGTTGAGTTGTTCACCACCCGATTCAACAGCCATGGCGCAAAGCGCACGGGAGGCGTCTACGTCCTTCTTCGCCATGTTCAGACAATTGGCGATAGCAGATGCGAGGTGTGTGATGATGATGTGTTGTTGGAACAGCACAGCTTGTGCGAACTTTGGGCATGCATTTCGCTTGCTCCTCCATCTCCTGAGCACTCTCGTCCAACACGGTATCGTCGTCCTTGTCAGTGGGATTGCTGGTCTCGCTGTCTTTCGCTTTGCGTGCATCCTCTTTCTGCTGCTTCTCCTTGACTCGCTTGGCTCTCTTGTATTCGCGGCCTTTTTCCAGACGCGCTTCACGCTGTCCTGGGGTCTCCTTAGCTCGCTTTGCTCTGCTTGCAAGCATTGCTACGGTCGTCTTCTTCCCTCCGCTTCCACCGTTCTCAATCCCTTGCGCTCCGAGTGCGTCATCATCCTCTTGTTGCTTCTTGACCGCATGAGCCTTTGCGCGTACGCGTCCCTTGCTTAGGCGGGTTTCACGCTGTGCTGGGGTCTCCCGAGCCTTTCTGGCTCTCGTGCTGATCGCAGACGCGGTCATTGAAGGATCGTCCTTGTTGAGATATCTGTTACTTATCCTCGTGAGCGCGCGCTGTTCACAACTCGCTGGATTGAGATCCTTTCCCATATTCCTGTCGCCTTCTTGGCGGCTACGCTCTCTTGCACGCTGTCTCTTGGAGTCTGGAAGAGTGTCCGGGAACAAGCGGACCAACATCTCCCCCACATGCTCTGGCGACTGACCCTGCTTTGCCAATTGATTTTGGTTTGTTCAAAATCTACCTTGCCAATCGATTCTGCTCTCTCTTGGCTGATACTGCGAGCAACATCTCGAAGGTGGCGATCCTCTGGAAAGCGATCTGTTCGCAGGACGATTCCGCGGCGCTGGGCATTCAAGCCCACGATTTCATCACTGAAGGGCAAAGCCTGATCGAGGTTAAGAGGCTCCAGGCCACCTAGTTGCTCCATTCGGAATTGCGTGATGCTCGCGGACAGTAGCGGTGACAGATTGACAAGGCACCTGCCCATGTTGACTGCAAAGTCTACAAAGCGGCAGTCTGAGGATGTCATGCCTTTGCCTCCATACGTCGTCCACTGCATCGGGTGTTGGGTGAAGAACCACAGCACTCGGACACTCCTCTTGTCTGTGGCATTCCGCTCCACGATCATCTGAACCTCGTCCGTGAACGCGATATATTCGAGCAGGGATTGTTTATACGTTGCGAGAAACATCTCAACTGTGAGAATCCCCCAGCAGAGGTTGAAGACTGCGTCTTCGGCCGTGATCGTGACGAATCATTCAGAATACCTGTCCCGCAATTCACGTAGAGGTCCGTCGCCGTCGTTGAAGAATTCCCGGAGCTTGTATGCGTCTCCAGTCTTACTGCCTAACGGCGAAAAGGCATGAAGGTTCATGTCAGATTGTTGACGTTGACACTCTCCGCCTGGCGGTTTTTGGCTCCAGGCATTCTGGCTCGCAGCATCTGCTGCTCTTGGACACTCAGCGGCGTAGCATTCATTACTGGGCGCAGAGAGTGTCGATGTAGGCACCACATCTCTGGCAAAATGAAGGCTTCCCTGCTACCAGTAAGGGAGATCTTGCACCGAAGCAAAACGGATTTCCGCAAAGAAAAACAATCTTGTAGAGATGAAACAAGTTTTCATCTTGATCTTCTGCCACAATGAACCACGAAACAACGAGCTGGTGATTACATGCGTCGGCTTGGTTCATCATGGAACTTGTTGAAATGGCTCGCAACAGAAACTTTCGCCCATGAAAGGAGGAATTTACTCGATCTAAAGAGATCAGTAAGATTGCACGCTCGATAAGTTCTTGGATCGTTTGATGGCTGCGCTGCTCTGCGACACGATGGTCTCTTGCCATGTTCAAGCAAGTCAGGGGCTGCTCGTATCATGAATTAGATCGCAGGTTTTTCCAAGCATGGAAAAGTTGGCCATTCCCGCGGCCACATATCGCTTCTCACACGTCGAAGCGTCGAGACACGGCATTTGGTTTGCTTGAAGCATTCGAAAAGTCCAGTGCAGACAAACATTGAAGCATTAAAGTTCGAGTGCTCTAGCCTTCTCTCTGTTGTCCTTCATCCCAAGTTTGGCACACACACAGAATCGCAGCGCGTTCTTCTCGTGAATCATCACGCAATGGCCGAGCCTCAAGCAGGTGCCACGACTACTGACGCACCAAAGCAGTGCGCAGCCTGCGCAAGCACTAGAGAAGATTTGAAGCGCTGTGCCAAATGCCTGGAGGTCGAGTACTGCAACAGAGAGTAAGATGCCCGTTTGAAGACCAGAGCTTGAAGACTAACGAGTGCCGCAGATGCCAGAAGGCGCACTGGAAGGCACATAAGAAAGAGTGCAGCCGTCTTGCGGGAGAGCGCGACCAGCCATCATCGTCCAGAAATGACTCGAAGCCCTTCACAGCAATCTCTGAAGGCAACTTCCTTCATGACCGATCCGAGGACGAGACGTACAAGTTGCTGGTCGACATCGTCCGCATGCGTCAGGAAGACACGTACAGGTTCGAAGGCGACACCATGCCGGGTACCATCTACAATGGAGAGAGCTCGTCGATACCGGCACTTCGAGCCATGTTACGTCGCGCGGAGGCGATCGAGGGCTTCCTACCAGGGTGGTGGACCGCGGCCAAGGAGGAAGAGTGCATTCGCAAGAATCGTGCAGCATTGGCTGCGGCGCAGGAGAAGTCCGACATCCAGGAGGCTTGGATTGATCAGTGGATGCCGATGAAGCTGAGGATGCTGGGTGAGCAGATCTGGGGCAACTGTCCTGGAGTAAGACCTGGCCAAACCGAGAGTATGTTGCGCTCGAGTGCCCTTTCGATCCTCGTATCTCCACTTTATGCAGCGTAGCCAAGACGCTCTGTCTCGACAAGCGAATCTGCCGCGGGACCTGCTTCGTAAGAGAGGTCGCAAAGTGAGCGTATTGCCCAGTTCCCATTTTGCTGTCCGCAGCTAACTTAGGGTAGACTCCGGCGGACCATATCGAGGCGGAGCCCGCAATTATCTTGATGGCGGCGTGCACGCCTGACCCGCCAGCATTTCACCTCCACCGATGCCTTCCATCTTCCTTCGCAGACTCAACACAATCCATATACAGTCTGGTGTAATTGATCGTGTGTCTTTCTGTCAATCCTGGCCCTCTTGTAGAACATTCGCCATTATGGCCAGCAAAGCATCTGCACAGCGGCCTGCCGACTTCGTCGACTTCCTCAATGCATCTCCCACACGTGAGTTCTGCCGGCCAGTCGATCCAGTCGGATATCGTGTTGATGGCATACAGCATTCCACGCGGTCCGGTCAGCGAAGGAGCGTCTAGAGAAAGCCGGCTTCAAGCCCATTAGAGTAGGTGCTTGTCGGACCACCTTGATGTTCAATGCTTTCCCATGTCCACATGCTGATGCACAGCTCTAGGAACGCGATTCCTGGAATGCCACCCTCCAACCAGGCGGCAAATACTACCTCACCCGCAACACCTCCACCATCGTAGCATTCGCCATCGGGACAGAATGGAAGCCCGGCAACCCAATCGCCATGGTTGGCGCCCACACCGACTCGCCCTGCTTGCGCATCAAGCCCGTATCAAAGCGATCCGCTGAAGGCTTCCTGCAAGTCGGTGTTGAGACATACGGTGGTGGCATGTGGCATTCGTGGTTCGACCGTGATTTGGGAGTGGCTGGAAGAGTAATGGTAAAAGGCAAAGACGGCGTGGTGGAGCAGAAGCTGGTCAGGATACACAAGCCCATAGCCAGGATTCCAAATTTGGCTGTACACTTTGGCGGATACGAACCATTCACATTCAACAAGGAGACACAATTGTTCCCGGTCTTGGGTCTGATATCCGCGGAGCTCAACAGGACGGGCAAGTCGAAGGACGAATTGAAGAAAGAGGCGGATGAGGAGGAGAAGGCTGCTGGGTTCGAGCCTCTCAAGACAGCGACACAGAGACATCACCCATATCTGATCTCTTTGATCGCTCAAGATGCAGGCGTGGATGCACAAGATGTGCTGGACTTCGAGCTCGTGCTGTACGACATGCAACCCGCGACCATCGGCGGCATCAACGATGAATTCGTTTTCTCTGCTCGTCTGGACAATTTGGGCATGACATACTGCGCCGTTGAAGGTCTCATTCAATCAGTCGCCTCAGCTTCCGCACTCAAGGGTGACCCGACGATTCGCCTCATCGCATGCTTCGACCACGAGGAGATCGGCTCACAATCCGCTCAAGGCGCAGATTCGAATATGCTCCCATCTGTGATTAGACGTTTGTCCGTCCTTCCCGCTTCATCATCTGACAGTGAGAAGAGCTACGACAAAGTCAGCAACGGTGAATCTGCCGACACGAGCACTGCATACGAGCAGACCTTATCAACCAGCTTCCTTGTCAGCGCAGACATGGCGCACTCCGTAAACCCGAACTATGGCGGAAACTACGAACCAGAGCACCGACCGCACATGAACGAGGGAACCGTCATCAAGATCAACGCCAATGTACGCTACGCCACTAACTCGCCTGGTATCGTCCTGCTCCAGGAGTGCGCCAAACGAGCCAAGCCCACTTCATGGCAACTACCAGAGGCCAAGACGAAGGACGGCGGTGTTCCTCTGCAATTGTTCGTCGTGAGAAACGACTCTCGGTGTGGTAGCACCATCGGCCCCATGCTGAGCGCCGCCTTGGGCGCCAGGACGATTGATGTGGGTAACCCACAGCTCAGCATGCACTCCATCCGTGAGACAGGAGGTGCATATGATGCGGAGCACGGCGTGAACTTGTTCGACAGCTTCTTTGAGCATTATGGGGAGCTGGAGAGTAAGATTCTGGTTGATTGACTAGATGATGGCAGTGAGAAGGCGAGGCTGTAAGAGTCTAGGCTCTTCAGCATGGGCGATGACGTTGCGGTCTGTGGTGGTGATCCGGCTAGGTAGCACCATGTACGTAGCTCCTCCATGGGTCTCTTACGCTTACGACTCATGTGCTATGAACACGTCGCTTTTGCGAGGGGGGAGGAGAGATGAATTGAAATCATGAAATTCAAATTCGCTCGCTCTGTTCGCTCCAATCATCGAATTACCATCCATATCGCCCTCAAACGCCATTGCAACATTTCGCACAGAAGCAATGCATGTGCCAGCCCCCTCATCTTAAACTCGTATCGACGCCAGACTTCAGTCATAGAACCACGACTCAAGCGGATCGTGAGCGATCAGCGTAGCCTCCTCCCAATCGTACTCTCCCCCATAAACCGTTTCCGGGAAAGTAGCCACCATATCCTCAGCTCCCTGCTTCTTGAACCAGCTCTCCATTGCATAAACATCCTCAGTAATCATCTCCGCCAACGCATAATCCGCGCACGTCTCCTTCTGCATTTGCTCCAACATAGTCGGATCGTCATTCCCACTAAAAGCTTCAAGCTGCTTCTTCAAACCAGACACATCCGTCTCAAGCTCTTTGGTGCGCGAAGTAAGCTCTTCTCGTGACTCGCCCTCATCAGCATCCATCTCTTTCTGTATTTCCTCCGCGCGTGCATCCAGTTTTTGCTTAAAATCTTCAACACTCGCGGCGATCTTCTCGAATTCTGCTTGTGCGGTTGCGAGCTTGTTTTCGGAATTTTTGGCTCGCTCGGATTGGAAGGCCCAGTACCAGTTACCGCTTCCGATCTTTTCGCAGGAGATTTTGCTTTCGTCTTGGAGGGCTTGGACGTAGTCTGGAAGGGAGGTTAGTTGTGCTGGTTGGGTGAGGGAGAAGGAGCGAGGTCTTACCTTTGACTTGCATGCCGTTGATTGAGCCGACGGATGGTAATTGCTTCTCGAGTTCTTTGATGCTCCATACGCTGCGGGACTTGCGGAACCAGGTTTGGATGGTGTTGAGTTTTTGCGCGTTGCAGTTGGTTTTGGGCGCCTGGGGTCACGTCAGTGAGGGGATCTGAAGCTGGCAGTGAAAGGGTGCTTACCATGTTTCGTGATGTGAGGGGGAAGATGAGTGTCGGAGCAGGTGACTCGAAGTGCAGTGGTTGTGGAAGAAGTGACAGGTGGAAGTAGAGAGTCTGAGAGAGCGAGAGCTGGACGAGACGAAGTTTCGAGGGCGGCGAGGCAGAAGTGCACGGGCCCCTGAAACGTTCTTGCCTTCACTTGGGACCTGCAGCGCGCGAGGAAGGCACGATCCGTCCCACTTCAAGCCTCCCTCCGAGGCGATGATGCTCTCTGAGCTCGTTCGCAGAGCTCAGTGAGTGAGCTCTGAAAAAGACATGCTTCCCGGCGAGTGGCATTCGTGTGAGGGAGGGGTTTGCAAGAATTGCATGTCATTGAACTCACTACTAGTCATGTACGTACGCACTGCATCTAAAGCTCCTTGTGCTCCACTTCGTACGAAGTCTTGCCATGGCCAACAGTATCCAGACCACCCATCTCTGCAGCAAGAACTCTGCCCTTCTCCGTGGCCGCAGCACCACCAACAACAGCCGCATCGCCATCGAAGTGCTTGGCAATTTCCTCGAGTGGGGTGTAGCGAGTCTCGATGTAGAAGAAGTACACGACTGCGAGCTCGATTGCCAGCCAAACGCAGTAGACGATGTAGTACTTCCAGCCAATGCCGTCGATAGCGACGGGATTGACGTACTGATTGAAGAAGAGGGCGACGTCGACCATCAAGAACATGAGCGTCATTCCCTTGGCGCGAATGTTGTACGGCAGGATCTCGGCTGAGTAGCTGACCAACATTCCAGACCAGGCCAGGTTGTAGAAGACGTAGTAGAGGAAGACCATGGCGATGACAGTGTTGCCAGCTCCTTGCGCACCGGTGTTCGCGAAAGTACCGGCGCAGGCGGTCCAAATGGTGAAAGCGACCAACATACCAGATGTGGAGACCAGGAACAAAGTCCGACGACCGACTAGATCAACCACGAAGCACTGTCCAATGGCAACGATCAGGTTCATGATTTGGAGACATCCATTGATCACAAGCTGCGTGTCACCATCTGTGATGCCGATTTGATTGAGGACCAGGTTGAGATAGTAAGAAGCCAGACCGTTGCCGCTCCATTGGGAGAAAAGACCAAGAGTCAGGAGAATGATCAGTCTGCGGCGGTTTCCTGGAGTCTTGAACAGCTGCAGCCAGCCATTGCCTTCGATTTCCTTCTCGAGAACGATTGTATCCTTGATCTCTTGCAGCTCAATCAGGACAACTTCGTCCTCCAAGTTGCCGTTGGCGTGGACTTTGGCCAGAGTCTGGTGTGCCTCTTCTGTCCGGCCTTTAGAGATCAGAAAACGTGGTGACTCTGGAACGAACATAATGAAAGCAAGCTGAATCAGGGAGGGAGCGGCTTGAAGGATTGATGGGATTCTCCATGACCAGTTGTTGTTGATGTGGTTCGTGCCGTATGTTGACCATGCCGCGACAATCGATCCAGCATACCAGGTCGTGTTGTAGATGGTCGTGAAGATTGCGCGATGCTGTGGGTGTACCAGCTCAGTGATCAGAAGGGGACTGGCACCGTGTGCGATCGCAACACCGAAGCCCAGGAAGAATCTTGCGGCGATGAACATTCGGAAGTTGATGGAAATGCCCTGGAGCACCACACCGAGAAGCATGATCAAGCAGCCTGGATTGTTGTTAGTGCGTGCTTTATCGATATTGCAGGTCCAGAACATGACCTACCAATTATGATACCCCATCTCCGTCCCAGAATATCGGCAGTGTATGGCACGACTGGAAGGGCCACGAGCGAACCAACGGACATGATACAGGCGAAAAGCCCCAGAAGCGAGCCTCTAGGATGACCGAAATCTGGGCATTCGTTAGTGCTGGCCCATTTGACCTTCTGCGTTGATGCACTTACGATCCTGCCACACTTCCAGCGACTGCAGACCGTTGACCATACTGCCGTCGAAACCATTGGTGGCCGAAGTCAGGACAACGAACATCAGACAGATGTACGTCTTCCGCAAGCCTGCATCTTTGTACCACGTCTGCAATCGTCAGTCATCCTGCTGTTCAGCGTCAGGTCTTTGAAACTTACCACTTCAGGAAACTCTTGTCCCGCGAGTCTGAACGTGCCCTTGGTAGGTCTGTCCATTGTGGAGTATGCAACGATCGTCAAGGCCCGTTCCTGTGTAATGAAGTGACTGCTGTTCTGGCGAGGACTGCGCCTTTCTCGTGGTGCAATGGGAGAGTTGTGGGAACTGGCAAAGCATTATATGAGCTGCTGTGCTCCATTGTCACAATTCATCCAAAATAGCCGCCCTGCGACCGCGGTATATGCGAAGACGATTTACAGTACCGTGCAGCCAGGACAGGCGAAACGCCACCACTCCAGCATCCATGTCCTGATTGGAAGAGTCTGGCCAAGAAGACTCGGACAGGAGGACGGAGGAGATATACCCAGCCGAATGTGAGCGGCCCAGTCAAGCCGCGCTACTGCACAGGCGATACAACGTGAGCTGTATGTGAGTGGGGGTCAGCTAGACGATCCTGGCCTTGTCCCGCTTCTCCAGGTTCCTCGTGCCATGGGCCAATATATGGAGTGCAGTACAGACACCGAACCGTCGCACCGGGTAAAGTCCACATTTAGCCGCGCAAGCAATAAGGATCAAGCTAAGACTGCCAACCGTACAAGCGAGGCCAGCTCATGTGCTTTGCCACGAGGCTAAAGTGCAATATGCACAGTCTGCACGAACGAGACTCGTCCTATTGCGCTCGAGTGCTCGCGCCTCATACCAAGAAGATATGCACTAGTGGCTTTGACCCACCAAAGAGGTAAGTTGACTCAAGCCGAGTGCTTTGCTAGATCGTGGTCGATGTGTAAACGCCGCATTCTTGCGGGTAGTAATGATTGGAGTGACCGATCGTGAACGGCTCGGCGGTCCGTCTACGTCTCACACTGTTATGGCACACTGTGTCAGCGTGGCTTGGTATGCGTGCCGTCGCAATTGGGCCCCTCTAGGAGCTCTCAGGAGTGCCGCCGTCAAGAAGATCTGATGAGCGATGTCTCAAGCAACTCTTCGGCTGCACACAGCGTCAGGTTCTCCAGCAAATTGCCATGCGTTCGTGCCACTGCCATGCCCTACGCCTTTCGCTGTGCCATCAACGTTCGGCAGAGCAAGGGTATCATATACTTAACATGCAAACCTCATGTCAATGCAGGTGTGATCTACGTGAGCACCCACACAACCCCAGTGTAGCGTGGTCTTTAGCCGTGCATCGCGATCCACTGGCAAGACCTGGCCACGAGTATCGACCCAGGGCGACATCCAGATTCTCGGAAGAGTCTCATGGATATGCGCGAAACATGTAGCCGGCTAAGAAACCGCACAGCCGGCGCAGGTGAACGGCTGTCGTGCTCCCCAGGTCGAAAGCCCATTGAACGATCGATGCAGCTGCCCTTACGTGCTAGGAGAACGTGATCTTCTTGGTCGTAAGATCTGCTACGATTTGTTCAAAAGCCTCACGTTTTCGCTTCCGCTCCGCCGCTGCGCCCTCGCCACCCTCCAACTCACCCGCCTCTTCTTGCTCAGCAGCAGCGTCCTCCGCGGTGCGCGGATCCCAGCAACGAATAGTACCATCTCCATGAGCAGAGTACATCTGAACATGATGGGCGCGCCATGCGAGTGCTGTCGTTCTGTTCTTTGGGTTGCGGACGTTTGCATCGGCTTGTTGGGCGCCCGGCAGGCCCTGAACACGCAAACGATTCTGCAGGGTCCCGTCGTGCATGTCAAAGGCGAGGATCTCTCTGGGGTTCGGGTAGACAACGATTTCTTTTCCTGCTGCAGACAGATGGCTTGGTACCACAAGTGGCAACAGCGCCGTGGTCGTGGAATTCTTTAGTCCTGGTCCAAAGTTCACGAGCGTGTTAGCACCAGTGTCCAGGTTCCACACTCTCACGCGCTCGTCGTGCCCGGTGGTGACCAAGTGCCGACCATCATCAGCCCAAGAAAGACCATTGACTGCTCCATTGTGCGCTCGGCCCTTCTCCCGTCGTCGCGCTCCTGTGCCTTTGCCATCATAACCGGCAATGCCGATGCTGTCTTCCATGTCCAGGACTCCAAGGCTACTTGCCGATTTGCGGACATCCCAAGTGCGTACGCAACCGTCAGTCGCCCCACTCGCGAGTATGTTCTCGTACTTCGGATGCCACGCGACTGTCAGCAGTGAGCCTGAATGCCCAGCCAGAGAGTGGCTCGCAGATCCGGAACGAAGATCGACAAGTCGCACAGCAGGATGTTGGGTCGCACAGGCCACAAGTAGATGGCTTGCAATGCTGGACGTAGCATGTGAGTACACTGTAGAGCCAAGATCGAAAGACGCAGAGACTTCCAATGTCTCGGAAGAGAACAACTTCAGACTGTGATCATAGCCGCTTGTCAACAGAGCAAGAGAGTCAAAGGGATAGAACGACACATGAGTGATGCTCAGACGGGCAGTGTTCGAGGTCTTCGCCGATACGGCCAAGGGCAAATGCGTGATCGCTTTTCCGGGAGATGCATCTGCTTCACCAGCCTCGAGATCCCAGATGGCCAGAGATGAATCGGCGCCGCCAGAAACCAAATACCGGCCCTCGAAGCGGTCTATGGCAATGCTGCTGACACCAGCGGCGTGTGCCAAATCGACTGTTCTTGGAGCATCGTTTCGAGCGCGTTCCGTCGGCGGCTGAAGCGCGAAGCGGAGGAGAGGCGTGGGCTGCAGTGCCTTCAGGAGCCGGTCATGCTGCGCCTGGATGAGTGACTGTGGACCGATGGAACCGAGCTGGCGATTCAGCAGAAATGAATTCATCGATCATGATGGAGGTTGTCGCGGGAGTGTTGTGTCTCGGTCGCGTCGGACGCGCCTGCCTTGCCGAGATGAGGTCACCGGGCGCCCCTGGGTTGGAAGACTTCGCACGACACAAAATCGCAAGACCACATCAACATCGCATGCAAAGCTTGAAGGCGCGCAAGATGTACGATTTGGCCACTCCGCGGTCTCACTGCATCTCCATGCTGTGGCAACCATGCTCGGAGACACTCCTTGTCGCAGAAAGCGCGCCACACATAAGTTCATGTATCCTCCGAAAGATTCACTGTCATGAGCTCGACGCCGCTAGGAGTGCGTGGGGATGGCGGCAGCCCCGCAGTGCAGCTCATTGCCCGTTGTTCCCTTGCGTGGCGCATCTGGCAACAAATATATGATGATGTTCTCGTCGATCTTCTGCAACAAGTCCTGACCGGTTCTAGTAACGACAAGAGCACGAATTGCTGCCACGCCTCTTGATGTCTGCTAGGCTAGGAAAACCAGAAGGAAGGGTGTCGGTCGATGGCATCTCGCAGCCATATTTCGGCCCGCAAGACACACTCACTGGCAAGATCACATTGCGCTATCTTCCATATTCCAGCATCTTCAAAAAGAACGTCGAGACCGCGGCGCTGTTTGGACCACTGAAACTCAGCATCATCCTCGCTGCTCGCATCAGACTGAGGATCAGAAGGGAACGATCTCACGCCCTTCCCACCAACCACGATGCGCATCTTTTCGCTACAAAGTTCCCAGTCTACAACGGAAGTTTGGAGGCAGAAGTCGGCAAAGAGCATACCTTCGCCTTCACAGCTCAGTTTCCTCGCTCCATCGAGGCATTGCCCCCAACGTTCTCACTTTTATTCCACCAGGTCCCCGATATCGTTGATGTGGCTGTACAATATCGTTTGATGGCAGAGATCGACATGCCTGGAATAGCGATTGAGACGTTAGCTGCACCTCTTGAGATCAAGTTCGATGTTGCTCGGCCATCGATGACTTCAATCGCCAGCAGTCGGACTGCACTCAAACTTCGCACGAAAGTTCAAAATCAGCATCTCCTTCCTAGTGACCAGCAGCCCCAGGGTTTCAAAGGCAAAGCCAGGGCAATCTTCACGCCCAGTGAGCAGTTCCCGGCATTCGTTCTGGAAATCTTCTGCACCGAGCACAAACACATTTACCCCGGTCAGCAGATGAAGTTTGAAGTCACACTCAGGCGGGACGATAGTGAGACTACGGCGCCTGCTGTTCCTGACATCACGCTGGACAGTTTCAAAGCTGATCTCAAAAGTGCAACTGTAGTTGATGGATCGCAGCGGATTATGGGGCCTGCCGTCATCATCGACAAGACTTACGCACAAAGCCTGGAGTGCAAGACACAATTGCCAATCAACTTCTCGAAAAGCAACGACTATTCCACATATGTTGTCACCATTCCCCTGAAAAATCATGCAAGCTCGTTCAAGCATCCAAAGCTCTCGCGAGTATACAGTCTGAAGATTACGATGCAATTCACAGTTGCGAAGAAAAGCGTGAGGCTCTCAAAGGAATCACCAGTAACAATGGTGCCTCGGCCGACCGACGACAATGATCCACCTGTGGCTGGTCCATCGCGGAGGGTCGTTGGCGATGTCGAAGACGAGGATCTGCCTGTGTACGAGGAAGCACCTGCGTACACAGTAGCGAATGCGACTTGAGAAAACATAGCGAGCCTGCAAAAACATCACAACCTGGATTCGAACTCGCGCACTTTAGGCAGTCAAAGGAACTGAGAACGCACTTCCAGGCGCATCAGCGGACGTGAATGCATCGTAACCACTCGGTCACGTCGCCATCGAGGGTAACCTTTGCCAAGAATACCAACTTCTTGGAAGCTTTGCGCGTTTCCAATCGAGGAATCGCGAAACAACTGGCTACCGAACACCTGCTTCAGTGGGGACTCTGCTGTCTCTCTACACTGACTGGTCTGATGCAAAATGAGAATATATATTGTTCAAAATATTCTCTACAGGCACCTCAGTTCATAGTTCCGAGGATGGAGTATCCCCACTGTGAGGCGGGAGCTTACTAGGACTACACGGCTAGGTGTACCGGACATGAGACCTTGTCAGCCGCAACATGAGATTGGCCCGTTCTTCGACGCTTGACTGCTGCACTTCAGTGAAGGCTTACCGACTACTGCCGGGAGTACAGAGAGGTGCACTAAAGGGCTAGGGATGCGCACCACCGGGGTGCCGGATCATAGAATTCAGATTGTTGTGCTTAGCTCTCCAGTTCTTTTGGCTGTCCTTCTGGCTATCCGGAGTCACTGACAGGAAAGAGCAGCCTGTCGCCGAATGGGCCATCGAGAGCCCACTAGCACGAAAAGAGAGGCTGTTGTAGCAAGGGAGGGTCAGCTACCAGGGCATAGAAAGAAGCCTTTACCAAGACTCTTGCAACGAAGAAGCTCAACTCTTGCATTGGGCTTTCGAACCCTGGCCAGACTTACCCTGGCCGAGGGCGAGCGCGATGCGCACACAGTGCGGGTCGTCAACTCTTTAAAGCACAACCTGAGGGCATGGGCTCCACATCTTGGGACGATCGTGTGGGGTGCATTATGGAGATATACCGACTCACGGCATCAGCGGTCCGACTTCCCGAAACAGAAGAAATATGTCTACGGAGTTCGGAGGGCAATGAAGCACGAAAGGACTTGTCTCCTGCGTTTGCGCAGAGTTTGCTGTTCGTGACCTGCGTGAAGTCGCGGAGAAACTGACTGGAACAGGACTGACCGCAAGTCGGATGACCTCAATGCGGATCTTGGCGTGGTTGCTTGCAGTTTCGGAAATGCCGACACGGAGTTCGCTGACTAGCCTTGCGTCAATGTTCTTCCACACTTCGTATTGCTGCTACTTGAAAGATCTACTTCTTGCCATGTCTGCTCTTTCATTGACTCTCCACTTCGACTACCGACCGCCTTACTACTGTGAACCAGGTTGAGACATCTCTTCCCACAACCAGGGACACGACTTCCACTTGACCACGAGCATCGAACACATACAGGACCACACAGATCGACTCTCGCCTACTGGCGAAGCGGGACCCTGTGCTGAGCTCAGATCTGCTTGACCTTCCACGCGCGCACGGCGCACGCTGTCCAGGATGTCTTCATCTTCGACCCTAACTCTCGAAGACTCGACGCACCTCAAAACAATTCAGGAAGAGAACAAACCAAAATCGCCTAGACCAACATTCCAACCAGAAACCCGCCGACTAGACGATTCACAAACACCATCCGTCCACAACGATGACATATCCCTTCACCAGATCCTTCAAGACAACTCCGCGCCCAACGACGGCACAGCAGTCGAAGCAAAAGAAACCTGGCTCTTCCCACGAATCAACACCTACCGCTTCGCAGCCGTCTGTCTCGCACTCTTCAACCTCGGACTCCACGACGCCTCCTACGGCCCTCTAATCCCCTACCTCGAAACATACTATAACCTAAACTATACCACCGTCTCCCTCATCTTCCTAGCAGGTTTCCCGGGCTACCTCCTCGCAGCCTTCGCATCCGATCGGATCCACTTGAAATTCGGCCAACGAGGTCTCGCAGCATTCGCCAGTACTTGCAGATTAGCAGCTTACATCGCTCTTGTCTGCCATCCACCTTGGCCGGTCGTTGTCGTGTTGATCGCATTCTGTGGACTAGGAAATGGACTCCTCGACGCGAGTTGGAATGCCTGGTGCGGAGATCTCGAGCATCCGAATGAGTTATTGGGAGTTGTACACGCTCTTTACGGTCTAGGAGCAGCTATCGCACCATTAATCGCTAGCGCTATGACGGATAAATACGGTTTGCCATGGTATAGATACTACCTCATCCCACTCGGTTTCAGCATCATCGAACTCAGCAGCGGCGTGGCAAGTTTCTGGAAAGCCAATGGCGCGGAATTCCGGAAAAAGAGCGCTCATTCGAAAGAATCGGGTGGAAGAACGAGAGCTGCGCTCAAACTGAGAGTAACCTGGACTCTGGCAGTTTTCTTACTTTTCTACGTTGGAGCCGAAGTCGCGCTGAGTGGTTGGGTTGTCACTTTTATGCAACGTGTACGAGGAGCTCCAGGATTCCAATCTTCGTTGACTTCGACGGGTTTCTGGCTTGGAGTTACAGTCGGACGAGTGGTTCTAGGGTTCGTGACACCTAGGATCGGAGAACGATGGGCCATCGTTGGTTATCTACTTGCGGCAGCTGGACTAGAGCTCCTGTTCTGGTTGGTTCCACAGTTCATCGTTTCGGCCGTCTCTGTTGCGCTCATCGGATTCTTCCTTGGTCCAATGTTTCCAGCGGCTGTGGTGGTGCTGTCAAAGACACTCCCGAAGCACTTGCATGTCGGAGCAATCAGCTTTGTGGCTGCTTTGGGTATGGGAGGAGCGGCTGTTATTCCTTTCGCGGTTGGTGCAATTGCGAATGCAGTTGGGGTCAAGGCTTTGCAACCTATCATCCTTGCGATTTTGGTTATTCTGCTCGGAATGTGGTTGACGCTGCCAAAGATCCCGAAGCAGCGCGCCGACTAGATCTAGAAATAAATGTAGCATCAAATTTATACGTTCATCATCTCGCCTTACACACAGAAGGAGCACTCGGATTTTCATATGAACATTTCATGCGTACGCTGTGCTGCCGCTATGCTCTCCTGATACACTATGAACACAAAAAGCCAGCCGTTCTGCGACGCGGCCGTTACTAAAGACATATTGAATGTGACTTATGTTCATTCCACGATTTCCAATTCGCCTTTGCGATCTCTGGCAAAAGTGTCTTTCCAATCGTCCCATATTCTCTGCAGCTCCTCGACGTACTTTGTGTGCAGTTCATCGACATAAGCAGGATCGGGCGTCTTGCTTTGTATTGTCTGGATTGGCCGGCCAACCACGATATTGATGGGTCGTCGATAGGGCATCATCCCAACGTCGTAGTTGAACACGCCACGCGCGTGGAAGAGAGGTACCTGCGATGAAGTCAGTGCGGGCAAGAGGCTGGAAATGAGAAAACGGTGCTTACAGTGAAGCCCATCAACTTCTTGACAAACAGCTGAGTTTTGTGAATCCAAGGGTGTTTGTCCGAGTCGAATTGGTCATAGATATCGTTCTCGCCAAATGCCAGAGTAGGAACAAGATCCGCACCACACCTGACAGCAAGTTTGACAAAGCCCTTACGCTTTCTCAATACCAGACGCATGGTGTAGGGTTTCGCATCCAAGGATTCGCGTGCACCTCCAACAACGATAGTCACAGCACGACCCATGCCTTCTTTATTCGGCCCGCCTCTGGAAAGAATGTTTTCACAGCTTTCGCGGCTGACGGAGGCGAGACCCATGCGAAGTGCATACTCGCGGTAGAGCGGTATCCTGAAGTTGGAGTCGAGCGTGAGCAATGTGTTAGTAATGCCAGGGAAGAGCTGGCCGAAGCCGAGCGCTTCGGTCGCAAAGGCGGCAAATGCGCCGTGACTAATGATACCGTGTGGATGGTATCCAAAGACATACTTCCTTGTCGGTTCCAGCTTCTCGCTCCGGTGTAGCCGCGCTGGAAAGTAGGAGGCAAACAGCGACCAGACCTTACTTCGACGCCAGAATTCGGAGCGAAGCGCCAGACTGCCATCGATCGAGACCTGCGAGAAGAGGACATAGACGAGATAAGGCACCAGGATCGGCCAAAGGAGAGGAATGCCGCATAGGAATAAAAAGAAAGCGAGGGAGCCCACAATGGAGAGCGTGTGCAGGAGTACCATGGCGGTCTGCAGTCTACGCTGGACCGGCACGTTCAGCGGTGCCCATCGAATCGCACTCCTCCCCCACCCCTCACCTGCACGACGTCCACTCGTGAGCTCGCTGTCTCGCCGTAGCTGACGAATAGGCTTAGGTTTGTCCTCGATTTGTTGCAAGCTCAAAAAGTCATCGTCGTTGCGCTTCACCGAAGTCAGATTTTCACCGCTCTTATTACGAATGAGGTCGATTGCGGGAGACGGCGCAAGCGTGTTGCCATTTGGCTGCTGTTGTTCGCTCCCCATATCGATTTGCGAATCGGATGAGGTGGGTCGACTTGTTTCGCCGTTGAGCGTGCGCGAAGAGCGACGCTTGTGTGTCCGCCTGACTGGTGATCGAGGAGCCTCGTCCTCGCCTACTCCGTGAAATGTCTCGCTGTTGCCGTTGCTGCCACCGTTTGTCTTCAGCTCGTTCCTGATCGTCTCCTTCACGGGATTTCCGTAGCCGTCACCATTGGGTAGTCCGTTTGGTGTTGGCGAACGCTCCTTGACAGCACTCGCGTAGCTCTCGCGACTCGCTTTCGACTCGAGTCTGCCTTTGGGATGCCGTAATGTAGGACTTCCAGGGGATGATGTGGCCTCGTCGATGACTTCGCCGAGAGCTCGAGGCTCGCCGGAACCGTTTCTGATGTGCGCGGGACGCGGCGGCGTCTCTTTGATAATGCTCTCGTCGATCACGGGATCTTGGGCGTCGATGGGATCCTCTTCAACAGCTTCAGCGTAACTTTTGGGAGGCAGTTGCTGATTTTCGCGTGTCGCGGGAGAGGCAGGCTCTGGATTGAGCGCCATGGTCGTGCTTGCCGACGATCAGTGACGCGAGCGGACAGGGGTCTCGAATTGCTGCGGATCCAAGAGCAGCGCGACGACGAACGGAGAGGGACACGACAATGGCGGAGAGGGCGCAAAAGATATGTCTCTACAGCTCGCACCCAGCTTCTCCGCCTCTGCTCGAGCGCTGCAGGCTGGCGCAGTGGCAGGAAGTCTTGCATGATCCCGTCGTAATGACGCACGTTCCGCCAGCTGGTGAGACCTGCACCGTGGGCTTAGCGCCAATTCGTTTGCATGTGCCAACACTCCTCGACACTCTACACTTCTACCGCGAGGTGCACAACATCCGACGCACAGCACAGCACTCTGCAGGCAGTCATACGCTACTCTTCCGGCTGACATGACACTCAGCCGCCCCGCTGGACCACGCATCACGGCAGACGAGCTTCGAGGCCAGGGCTGAACCGGCGTTGAAACGGCGATATGCCCAAGCTCCCCAACCCGCTGCTGAAGCGCAAGTCTTCATCACCTTTCACATCTGCCCAGCGCACCAAACCTGGTTTGCGCAAGAACAGCACAGTGTCCGACGCTGAACGGCTGGAAGATGTCGGAATCATCCCTCGCCTGCCCACCGTTTCGCGGCAAGATGTCACATCTCTCATCCGCCATGCCCTCAATAACGCCTTCGAAGACATCCCGGAACGAGCTGCCGGGATGAACAGCCAGCAGATAGCGGACACTCTCCAAGCTCGAGCTCGAATACCGCCCATCGTCAGCATAGCGCACTTGCATGCACTTAGCACCTCGACCACGGCGACTGAACGAGAGCTGGCACGTTTGGTGGCGGAAGGAAAGGTCAGAAAGGTCACAATACCCGGTCGCGGCAAGGGAGGGACTGCTATTGGCGAGGGCGTGGCACTGGTAGAGGACTGGGTCGAGCGAGTTATGCGGGACGACGTTGCCTTGTCGAAGGAGCTGAAAGAGCAATATGTTTCCCTGATGCGCGAGCATCCTGTGTCTCAGACAGTGCCTGTGATCAAGATTGACCAGGCCGATATCAAGAGTCTCGTACAAGCTGGTTTTCTCACGAATCCTGCAGCTTTGTCGTCCACAGTCGGTAATGTCTTCGCTCGTCCCACAGGAGGCGCAGCTGGGTCAATAGCCACGGCAGGTCATACAGCAGTGACCGGCACCTTTGCTGCTGTCGGTGGGTACGGTGCGATACACGATTCTGGTGGCGGAGGTAGCACGCTTGCCACACAGCACAACCGGACTCATAACAATAAGGTCCAACCTACCATGACTTTCAGCCTACCCGGGACAGGCTCATACCTCAAAATGCTGACCGAGGCTCGACAACATTTGCTCTTCCTATTGAAACAGCTAAGTCCGAAATTCCGGGAAGCTACCAAGGACCTCTTGGAGGAGAAGTGGAATGGAAATGTTCTTGGTGACGAGGTGTCGAAGGCAAAAAGGATGAGAGGCGAATGGAGTGGAGTACTACCCGGGCAGACGAGACGATGGAAACAGTTTCATGGGCTGGAGTTCGATTGGATACTTGCTGAATGCCTTGGAAGCGGACTTGTGGAGCTTTTTGACACAGGCAGTGTTGGCATGGGTGTGAGGGCCATATAACATCATCAGCTTCCAGGCACTCTCGAGTCGGCACGCCGAATGTTACGGGCGATACTAAGAACATATCCTGGAAAGCAGAAGCAGAAGTAACGCGAACCATCACAACGCTATTGCCGTCCTGCCGTCTCGTTGGCGCTCGTAGCCGGCATTATCCGCCATAAATGCATAGAAGCGACTGCATCAATGCCACCACAGCCGAACCGCCTTTACATCATGCTGACATGAAGTCAAGTACCAGAGAGCGGAAGCCAGATCGAACTGCGACAGCAAGTCAGAAGCTGGTACTTTGATTGTGGGAGGGGATCGATTTCATAAAGGTCAGCGCTCATCGTGATGCCTGTCAACGCGAGATTGATACAATGGCTAACAAGCCGCATCTCGCAAGAGATTTACTCGAGGCATATGGGATAGATACATGTAGCACTGCAATGCCAATGCCAATGGTGAAGCCGCCAGCTTCGGAAAACTTGCTGCCTCGGCACAGCCACACTCACCACAGACAGCGATACTGTACGCAACGTTACAGTAGTCACGCCAGGCAGGCATATCTACTAATACAATGTGATCCGCCATCGTGGCCTCAGAAACACATTTACCACCTTTCGACAGCCTTACCATGGCAGAACCCACCTCGTCAAGACTGCTGACACTTCCGTACGACATTCGCTTCCTGATCTACCAGCAATTATTCCCAAGCGGCAAATACATCAACATCCAAGCAGGCCGCAATTCCCATCTAAGACTCAACGAAGAAGACTCAACAGTACCTACCGCATTTCTGAGAACGTGTCGCCTTCTCCACGCCGAAGCGAGCAGATATCTCTACACCAACTACTTCTTCCTCGTCTTCGGCGAAAAGCGCAATTGTTTGGCCAACTACGAAAAACTGCAGCGCACACTGCAACTACATTCACAGTCAAAGATACATGTGCATCCATTGAGCAATGGCAAGCATTCGCAGACTGGTGCGATTTTGCTGACTTCGAGTGACGCTTTCAGTGTCAAGGCTCGGGGACGCGGAGTGCCTGTTACAGTGGAGGATCTGAGGCGAGAGATCGAGACTGGCGAGAAAGGTGGATTTGGTGCAGGTCGTATAGTGCATGATTTGTTTTTGGCCCACTATGGAATGAGCATCGTGCTGGCCGCTCTCATGATAGCCGTTTTGGCGTGGTTGTGCTCGGGAAGGGCAATTTATTCTTAGGCTGCACCGCCACAGGTCGGCAGTGAAGGTGCTCGATCAGATGCAGTATCGAAATCGAATATTAGTTCGGAAGGCGGCGATCTTCTTCGTATATCGAGAGCAGTTTGTGGTGCAAGTGGCACTGCATTTTGACACAGTATGCGCGCCGCAAGGGCCAAAAGCCAACCGTGTGCAGAGCCTACGAAAGTCTGGCCTTTCTTAGTCAGCCAAAAACAGTTCCAAGATCGCCGTCCTCATGCACGCCTCGATGCGACTCTCGCGGTCCAGACCCTCAGCTGCATCGCGACTTTCACTCTGCATCTTGAAACACAGCATGTACATTCGGAAGCTACAGTGTCATTAAGCACTATCCCGTAGGCGCTCCAATGAGAGCGAAGCCGGGCGCAGAGCTCTGGACGAGCAACTGTCGAAGCCGGTGAGCTCTCACCTTTTTCTCAAATCCTATCCTCTCTTTCTTTCGCGACAGACCTGAAGTCGCGCCTCGTGGCGTGACGGCGCAAGCGTAGGCTCGAGCAAGTACACAAGATGCATTACAGTAAGTCTCCGCCATACTCATTGAGGCAGAAGAGGAGTGCGGGCATTGACTTCTGCGCCAATAGTTCGTTTTCTGAAGACTCCGAAAGTCTACGTCGACCGCGCTACCGTCACGCTCAAAGCCGTCCTCACTATTACGACCGATCTTGGCGAGACATTCTATCCCAGCGACCTCGATTTGGTGGTGTCTCTTTGTGCTCCAGAGGAAGATGGCGAGATATATCTGCGCAAGAAAGTAGCATGGCAAGGCGGATCACGCTCGGTAAATGTGTCTCTCGATCTGTCCCGTCAAGATGTGGACTGGCCGGCATGTGTACATGTTTCGGTTAAAGGCACCAAGGTGACGGACATGATGCCACCATTCGTTGATGTGTGGAGTGGTTCTCTGAACCCTACCAAAGGTCACTTTGAGTCAGGCTGGCGGGTCGAACGACGATTCAAGTCCGTCAGCGAACGTTCGTTATGCCTTCTGGAAGACGCTGGCGACAGTATAGCGCGCCATTTGTGGGACGGATCCCAGGCATTGGCGCAGCACATCGACTACACCATCTCGCTTGATCATCCCACGACGCTTCCGCTGCTCGAATATGTCCTCATTTCGGCTACATATCGACGGACCAATATCATCGAATTGGGATGTGGTTGTGGCACAGTCGGAATTAGTGTCGCACAGTCAATACCCGATTGCGACGTGCTACTGACGGATCTGGACGAGGCGAAAGAATTGGTCGAAGCCAACATTGCAAGAATGCAACCCGCCATGGCCTCTCGAGCACGTTTCCAGTCAGTCGATTGGCTAAAAGCTCTACCGCCCAATCTGGAGACTCGCAAGAATGACCTGATCATCGTATCCGAATGCACGTACAACACGGATACTCTCGAGCCGCTGGTCGGTATGCTGGTCACATTGGTGACCCGCTCACCGAAAGCGGTGATTGTTGTGTCTACCAAGACCAGACATGATAGTGAGGCGGCCTTTTTCGATCTCATGAAGAATGCGGGTTTGATCGAAGAAGGCTCGATGCGGTTGCCGTTACCCGGTGAGCCTGGACAGGGCTACTCGGATTGGGCCACGGATGTAGGTATGCATGTGTTCCGCGGGAAGGATCACCGCCTCAGTCTGAGTCCCCGGAACAGAAGCGAAGAAGAGGTGCCGACTACCAAAAAGGAGAAGCGGAGTAAGTCGAGATAAGGGCATTGCATTGTCTTTGCCGCAGTGGCGGAGCTCGAGCATGCACAGTACCATCGGAGCACGCGAAAGTTGCCGGCCAAGGTACGTGCTTCTCGCGGCGTACTTGTGCTCAGGATCGAGCTACCGAGCAGAGCGTTCCTGGTCACATTGGAGAGGTCCATGCGGTTGGAGATTGCTTTTGGGCTGGTTGTGATGAATGATGAACGAATGGGATGCATTTTCAGTATAAGTCTCGAGGCGCTCAGGTCGGCAGGGATGATACCAAAAAACATGATAGGCATTCGGCGAGCATGAAGGTTGCGCAAGCATTGGGCGGTCGCGATGGGAGTTTGCAGTTTATACACGAGCATCGTGGGATGAGTATGAGAGTCGAAACACTCATCAGCCTTTTTCACGAGGATTCGTTCAGTCGTGTAGCACGCACGCACCGCTCCTGAGTCGAGCATCAAGATCTACGGAAGGGCTGGACCGGTAGATTTCACGGAGCCATCCTCCGCAGAGCCTCGTTCTTGACCGTTTCTCGTTTCTCGGCTTCATGTGTGGTGGCTTGACTTGACGCCCAATTTCTGGTGCGTGTGACGTGTGCATTCGCTACAGGTCGCAAGCAGAGCACTCGATAGACGGTCTGGATTTTCTAGTGAGAATCATTATGAGATCGACTGTGCAACGCGCGTGTATACCGAGTAAGGAGCGTAGATAAACAGTCCAAAGTCCACGCTTTACGGTGGACAGATCCCTTGCAGCGGCACGTTGTTGACATGTGGTAAGGGCCATTTCCGTTACGTCCAGAAACGACAGCCAATAGCATTGCGATCGCAACGACCGCTCCTGAAGACTGGGAGCACAAAATGGAGTGCGTCCAAATGCACCTGCAGTGATTGACTCAAGGTGGGTTCTGCAATACCGGATCCCGGTCAGTAGACTCGTTCGAAATTGATTCTGTCGTGGAGGACAAGGGGGATTGATGATGGAGGTTTGTGACTCCGGAAGCTGTACGAAGGCTTCCAGCGAATCGGTAGAATCGCAGTGGTGAGGCGGCAGACTTAGCGAGAGCTGAGTGTGAACTGGCGAGGTGCTTCGAAAAGTTGGTTTTACGTTCAGGACTACTTGGGCGGAACTGAGCTCGCACACCCGTCGGGAAGCCGCGACTGACGACCGACTGCGCTCTTGTCGGCTCGAACGTCAAACACGAAATCCCCCTCCGTCGCGAAGGTCTTTGAACTTCACCACGTACCTATCGTTCCGCGCGACGATCCTCACATGCTATCGAGCGCAGAAACACGGCCGCCCTCGCTGCTTGAATAACGTCACCTCCACTCTCGACTCGCCGACTCGCCTACCGAGCCCTTGTCGAGCACAGACTTCGATCGCAGTTGAGGCTGCGAGCGCAACATTATTCGAGAGTCACACACTCAGATGCCATGTCCGGATCTTGACTCGTTGTCGGCCATCTGACGGGCGAGTCGCCCGCACCACCCTGAACAATGTCGGACGCGCCGCGAAGCGAGTTGTACAACAACAACAACAACAACCATGAACTAGAAACCCCGGTCGTCGACGAGGGTGGGAGTGGGACCGCGCCATCTGCGTTCAATGACAGCGCATCAAAATCACGGACCTTGGCCTCAGGTCTCCCACGGACTCTCGCCAGTGCTCGCTCGAATCCCGCACTGCTGCCCTCACGACCCGCTGGCCTCGTGAAAGATATGGCCAGCAAGTGGGAAAGCAGCGGGCTTCCGCCGCTATCCCTCAGCTCTACCGAGCGTGAGAACTCCCGACGACCATCTATTCCGGGGAGAACGACAGCGCCCAGATCTCCCGTCAGTGCATCAAGCGGGGAGGGCAAGGAGCGCGTGAGATTGCAAAAGAAGCGACCTGCACATACTCACAAGTCAACCGCCAAGTCACCATCGACGTCGTTCGAGGCCAACAGCTCCTTCTCATCTGTCGGCACTACTCGCACCACACGCAGCCAGCCACATTCCGCCTTCAGCCCGAAACACCGACCTACGTCGCCGAAGCAGCACTCGCGACCGCTGTTTGGTGAGATCACTGCGGATGGGATATGGAATGGCAACTTTGAGTTGGGCAATTACGGACCGCTGCCAACCTTTGAAAAGACACCGCGACGGGGAAGCGAGGGCAGTCTGGCGCTGGGCCATGGCCGCTCACAATCGCATCAGGACATTGCTACTCCGTCTCTAGCCCCGCCGCAGCCGCATCAGCACAAGCTGAACCATCAGCGCAGCCGGAGCGATATGGATGCTTTACGCCCGCAAGCTGTTCCCAGTATGCCGGATCTGGGAGCTCGCACCATCCCTACACTGTATCCCACACCACCTGACTCCATATCACGAAACTCAAGGTCGCGTCCTGCTGCAACGACATCGCGAATACCGATTAGCAACCGCCAAGGAAACGACTCATCCTCCTCGTTCCTCAGTTCGCCGTACACACGATCTGCGTCATCTATGTCGAGCCACAGACGCAAGCTATCCAAATCCCCCACACGGCCCAGCACGGCAAAGGGAAAAGAGAACAACGCGCCGCCATCTCGCAGCCGATACGCACCTCCACCAATCCCTACAGCTTCCTCGAACCAGACGCTTTCTGCCAAGATAGTGGCCCCGCCTGCGATAACCTCCCCGCCCTTGCGATCATCACGGCCTAGACAGCCAGTGAGTGCGGCGACAACTTCCGCTAGCCGTGCGAGAGCGGCCGAGCGATTCGTGAGCGCGAATCCTGGCAGGAGAGATATTCGACGGCCAAGCGAGCAGTGGCTTGGGAAACCATACGATCCGCAAAAAGAGAGATCGCGGAGGAAGATACCCGAGCTGGATAATGTGGACTTTGCGGAGCGCAGGGCCAGGATACAGAAAGCGATTACGGCAAGTCTGAGATCCAACGATTCGTACGAAAGCTTGCGGAGCGCATCTCGCAGTCAGTCTAGGAGCCAGACGAGAAGCGCTTCACGAGGTCCCGTTCGACTAAGCACTGGCGACTTCGTGCCGCAAGCTATCGCAGGCGCGGAGCGAATGCAGCAAAGAGAGGGAAGCGCTGTGAATGGACACTCGCGTGGTTTGAGCGTGGAGACGACCAGTCTTCAAGCACCACACGCACAGACTTCCGATCTGCTCTCAGCGCAGACCGAGAAGACGTTCTTCGAGGACGAAAGCCCCGTCCTTGGACGGGCCGCAGCGGCGGAAGACTCAGAACAACCACAGGTGGAAGACGGCGGACCGCAGATCCTGCTTGCACCCGTCACCTATCAACCGCCAAGCCGCTCCGCAGCCGTTCCAAGTACCATAGAACTAGGCCAGAGTGAGCCCGCGCAACCAATTCATAGCCCCAGCGTCCTAGACAACGTGATGCGCATGCGTAGGAGCAGTGGATCAGATGCCAGTGGTACGGGGACTGAATTCGCGGATGACAGTCCGTCCGCCAGAGACAGCACCAGTGATGCGGATGATAGGTGGGGGTCTGGTATCGATCGGGGTGCAGATCAAGGTTCAATACGGATCATGCTGGACGAGGACCCAGAAACTAGTCAGCATGCAGAACCGTGGCTCAGTGACATGGGGAACAGCTCCGCTGAATCCCGCCGCCGCGACTCACCCACACAAGGAGACGTTGTGCACACGCAAGCCTACAACGAACGAGCCTTTGCTGTCAACGGATACACAGAATCTCCAGACGACGATGCAGTGACATGTTTTCCGAACGAGCAGAATACGACGCCCAAACGCCAGACCCGACCGCGAGACGACACCCTTCGACCTACAGTATTCCGTCCAGACGCATCGCCCGGCATTGATTCCCAAGAGACACTTGGCGCAGATGGGGCCATCGCTCGCGTGCTGGAGTACTATCAGTCCACTGGATCACTTACGCCGGACATGCTTGAAGAGGTGCAGCATCGCATGGTGGACTTGCACCGATTATCTGCTAACGGCGGATCCAACGGCATCATGATACAAAGCCTGCTGGACAGTGTTTTGGATAGTCAGGCCAAGGGACAAAGCACACCAGAAAAGCAAATGCTGCAAGCTGGCACATATGAGATGCCGTCGATCACACCGGATACACCGCCGATGGGTGATGGATTTGTGCCAGGCACTGTCATTGTATATGGCAACGAGACACCAAACAATAACGAGGACGATGAGGACGACTTCGAGGCGAAGATCCGCAAGGCGGACGAAGCCTGGGAACGGCAGCAGCGCGGAGAATATCCCTTTGCACAGGAGGACGATGAGAACAAACCTACACCTCCGCCAAAGGATTTTGGGTACACACCGCGATCCAGCACTGTGCCCAGCACCGGGTCCTTCACGCCAAGCATGAATGAGGCCGGCTTCAGACTGTCAACGATATCGACTACAGGAGGTCTGGACCTGCACGACATCCATGCAGCGGCTGATCGTGCAAATGCCACACCACCGGATACCGAAGCGACGGCCCCAGATGTCTCTTCAGCGCCTTCGCATGCACCTCCGCCTGTACCGAACGAGACATCTTTGAAACCATCCGCTTTCCCTGATCTCGCGCTGCCCACATCTGCCTCCGAGAGAGGGTCTAGCGACCTCTCGCCGCGACTGAACAAAGGGACATGGGCACAGTCTAGTTCTTCTAGGCCACCTTCATCGCGACCTTCTACAGACAGTCAGCGAATTCCACCGAGTCTGCCCACTTCTCAATCCATGACATCTGTCTCGGAAACAACAAGGGTTGGCTCAGTGGACACAGGACGCGATGGCGCTACGAAGACGCAGAGTGCTGCATCGCCTGCCCCAGAACACAAGCGCCTTCTCAGGAGACGACACATTATCAAAGAACTGCTGGACACTGAAAACTCCTACCATCAAGATTTGAAGATCATCGAGGATATCTACAAAGCCACCTGCACCCCAGAACTGGTCCAGCCTGAAGATAAGAAAGTGCTCTTCGGTAACTGCGATGAGGTAGAGAAGTTTGCATTGCATTTCTATGATGAAATGCGCAAGGCCGTCTCGCAGGTGTACACCCCTCCAAAGCAGCATCGGTGGATGAACAAGCGTGGTAGTTTCTCCACCACGCAAAGCGACGGCACGACAAGCACTTTCACCGATGCAGTGGACAACGAAAAGGACCAGACGACAACGATTGGGCGCACGTTTTTGATGAACATTCCACAAATGGAGAATGTGTACGGCACCTATCTGAAAAACCACGATGCTGCCAATCAAAGGCTGTCGGCGATCCAGAGCACGACGACTGTAAAGTGTTGGCTTGACGAGTGCCATGCTAATGCTAGCGACATCACGTCTGCATGGGATCTGGACTCTCTTCTTGTGAAACCGACTCAACGTGTTGCCAAGTATCCAATGTTGCTCCAGCAATTGCTCGAAGTCACACCATCTGAGCATCCCGATCACGGTGACCTCAAAAGCGCAGTCAAAGATTCAATCGCTATGCTGACACGAATCAACGATGCTAAGAAGCGCGCCGACCTCGTCGATCAGATTATCAATCCTGGCAAGCGCAAGGACACAGATTTGCGCAGCGGTCTAGCCAAAGCCTTTGGACGCCGCACCGAGAAGCTCAAAGAACGAGTGGGCATTGCTGAGGCCTTCCAAGACCCGGCCTTTGACGATCTGGCCCACAAATTCGGAGGCCATTTCATTCGATTGCAGATCTGTATGCGAGATGTGCAGGATTACATGCATCGGACCGACAAAGCCATTGAGCTCATCAACAACTACGCCAACGCTCTGGAACTGTTCACTGACGTGTCTCCGAGCACACTCCCTGAAATCGAGAGCAAGTACCGCAAATATGGCCAAGTCATTCGTGATCTGACATTGATCGCGTTTGGGGAGCACAAAGCCGATGTGCAGAAGAGGGTTCTAGCTCCGATGATCCAATGCATCAAACTGCATGAAGGTCCCCAGAATGCGATCAACAAGCGGAAGAAGAAGATTGTTGACTACGCCAAATGCAAGTCAGAAGAACGTCGTGGTCAAAAGCCTGACAAGAAGACCGTGGAGGCTTCGGAGCTGTACGTGGCTTTGAATGAGCAGCTCAAGATCGATCTGCCGAAACTGTACACGCTCACTGCTCAGCTCGTCCAGAATTGTCTCAACTGCTTCATCGACATCCAATTGAAATGGCAGGGTACTTGGGAGAGGAAGTTGAAACCTTTGCTGGAAGCCGCGGATGTCCCAAGCAGCATCCAGCAGATTGAGCCTGCTTTCAAGCCTGACTTTGTCGAGATAGAGAGGCGCTGCAACAAGCTGTCCATTTGCAATGGCACCTTGAAGGTGGAAGCCGCAAGCTTCCTGTCCACAACGCCGACACTCGCGGAATCCTCAGAGACGACAAGCAAACGACGGCCTTCTACCCTCGATAGCTCCAATCGCACGCTATCAGTCGGCAGCGAGTCGTCACACAATGCCAATAACCGACGCCACAGTGGTATTTACTCCCCAGGCTCGGAAGGGCAGTTTCCAGCGGACTCACGGAATCGATCAAGTTCGGCCATTGCCAGTCGCCAACCTGCCCCTTCTGCTGCGGCTGGCTCTCGGCCGTGGCCAAATTCGGCTGCTCATACTCCCAGTTCATCGTTCTCCGCTACCAGGCCAGCCACTGCTGACTCACCATCTCTTCCACCATCGAGCTACTTTCCCCGCCAAAGTCACGAAGCACCAAGATCACACAGGCCAACATCGGATGCCTCATATTACACAGCCCGGCCGACACCTGCAGAGGTCGAACAGCACCGGTTCTCTGGCTTGTTTAGCTCCGCTCTCCCGCCAGACGTTACGAGTCCTCCGCAAGAAGCGACTCCGCCGCGTACGGCCCCCGCTGACATGCCGATCTTGTTTGTGTGTGCAAGCTTGTTTGAGTTCAGCATCGACAGGACCCGCAAAGAGGGCGGATATCCCTACCTGCAGTACGTGCAGGGCGAAGTCTTCGATGTACTCGCGCAGAAGGGCGAGCTGTGGCTGGCGAAGAACCAAGATGATCCGACTAACGAACTGGGCTGGATCTGGGAACAGCACTTCATCATACTGTCGTCGGAGAACTAAAACATTGCGCGTATCGCAAATCACTCATTTACTTGCTTACGAATTGGACGAAACAGCAACATGCACGGAAGGCGCGCCGGCGGAGCGAATCGGCCTGTCGACACATATTCTGACTGGACAGCCTGCGCCTTTTGTGCTGCAGAAGCACTTCTTATGTTTACTTATCCTCTGATTGTTACCAGCGTCGGTTTATCAAGCGGAGGCGTTGGCTGGCGCTCTTTAATGGCACGACCTGTGCACTTGTCTGGGAGCGAATTCTTTTTGTTTGAATAGACATATCTGTCTGTCTGTGTATGATAGGATCGGGCTATGAAGTGGGTACATTGGACTTCAAAAGTAGAACAGGGCGTTCTGCAGCGAACGCTGTGCTGATGACATAGGGGGTCGAGAGTCTGCTAGCAGACGCACGTGTGTAGTAGGACACGGAAAATAGTCAAGTGAACCAGTCTTGTATCGCTTTCGATGACGGGTGCATACCTTCCTATCTCGTGCTCTCGGCAATGCGATAACGTGAGCGTTAGGTGTCTTTTGCTGTCGTCCGAGCCTGCATGGAACTCAAAGCTTGGGTGATTGCGAGCTGGCATTGCCCATACTGCAGGTACGGAGCTACTCAGAAAGCCGCGTTCATCCCTGTTGCTCTCGTCGTCGTCTACACAAACACAAACTTAGTCCCCGCGCGGGCCGGTCGATCTTATCCACACCTCCGCCCTGCACAAAGCCGCCGCGCGACGACAACAACATTTGTATACAAGTCGGTCTCCACGGGTGTCGCCAGGCATCGGAGAGACTGGCAATGATTGGAATTGACAGGTGCGCCGCGCTGCAGTGATGGATCTGAGAGAAGCTCGGAAGCGATCCTTCAGCTCCAGCGGCTTGCCAGCCGACGGCAGTTTGCGCCAGTCCAAGAAGAAAAGGAAGCGAGACGACAAGGCGGAACTTCAGCAGACGGAGACTCCGGGAATTGCAGATGCCGCCTCTGTGCTCATCGCGCCATCCAAAGACCGTTCGGGCAAGAGAAAGCGACGTCGCGAGAAGCAAAAACTCCAACTCGAGACCGGCGACAGCGAAGCAGGAGGCCTATCTGCTGCCCAGCCCAAGACCGAAAGGACCAATGTCGAATTCCAGCCGGACACCTCGAAGAAGCCGAACAAAGATCGAGCAGTCGCGGGTACGACTGGTCAAGTCTCTGGAAAGCAGCACAAGGATGCAAAAAGTGCTGCTGCTCACTCTGCATTGCCTTCATCGACTGTGACCACTGGAGATACAGCGAAGCCGAACCAGGCATCAAATGGACGAGAGCCCCAACCTCGGAAGAAGCATAAGAAGAAGAAGAAGCCTAAAGACAAAGCCGTCGCTTCTTCTAGTCATGACTCCACCAAGGCCGCGTCTGCGAAGAACCCGGACGAAACTTTCATTATGGATTGGGAAGCTATCGAGCGAAGCGCTGCCATGAAGCTCACCACCGAAGATGTTCTATGGGGCAATCTTACCCGGGAGCAGCGAGTACAGATGGAGGAGCACTATATCGGACCCGCGATCACGCCCACAATTCCAACCCATGACCAAGAGGTCGATTCCAGCAAGGCGGACGATTCTGCGGGGATTGAAGTCGATTCTTCAATCGACACAAGCAGCGATGAGGAAAGCGTCGGGAGCCCACCTGCTCGACAGCCACATATCCCAGGTTCTGTGGTAGCGAGGGAGATTCCGAGTGCCTCAAATGCTAGGACACAAGTCGCTCAAACCGCCACTGCCTCAAGTAACGAGAACAAGCCGCTTGTCTCCAAGCTACATCAACCCAATAGTCGCGGCCTGTTCAAGGCCTTCGGCGAGAGGAGGTTTTCTGGTGTGCCGGCCACTACCAACACTAAGGACACTCTTGCCAACACGCAAGCGAAATTTAAGCGGCTAAGCGCTGCCATCAAGCAGCGCAGGCAAGAGGCTAGTAGTGACAGTGATGACGACAGCAGCAGTGAAAGTGATTCGGGGGATTCCGGACTGGTCAGCAAGCCAACTATGCGCGGCTCAATTCACGAGAGCTTCACAAGTCATATGCCGACGTTGGACAAAGACGAAGGGAAAGATGCGACTCCAGCTTCAGGAGACCTGGAAGCGGATTCAGACGACGATCATGCCGAGACACAGGTCAATAGTATACCGAGTGCAGCAGAAGTCCTCAACAGCGATGGCAAGATGAGCGACGAGAGTGTCGAGCTTGCGAATAACGACAATTTAACCTTGGCTCCAGATCGTGGTCAAACTGTATCACCTAATTCAGATGAGGATATGGAAGCAGAAATCACCGCTCCGCCATATGCTGCAGCTGAAGATTTAGCCGCTGCAGCCAGTCCGCCAAACGAAAATTTTGGCAGCGAGGATGCGGAAGACTACGCTGCGGGTCAGGATGATGATCTCGAGCACGAAGAGCTTCCAGAGGATGAATTGCAAGATCAAGATGCAGATGAGGCTGCAGCTGAAGAGGAGGAGCATGCGACTTCTGCTTTCGATAATGGGCGGTCAGTCGAGGAGGTAGGACACATGACGGACGGGGACGACAGCAGTCATGCATCTGAGGACGACGACCCTGAAGAGGATGTCGCTCTGCCAAGCCGTCATGTCGGACATGCATCCAGTGCAGGCGACTCGACCACTTCAGATGTCGACGTCATTGACGCTGATATGAGCGAGGCGCCTGCCCAAGACGATTCAAAGCAGATAGATGATGCTCTCGACTCAGATGATGTTGCGGACGCCATGAGCGACCTTCACGAAACTAATGCAGAAGCCCAGGACGGTCTTGACACGACGATGGTTAGTACAAGTTCAGCACAGTCCTATCAGGCGGCACAAAATATCACAGATTTGCCTGCAGAGGCTTCGGGTGACAATTCAAGCGATAATGCCAGCGACAGAAGTCGCGAAGTTCCGGAGGAAATCCACCAGGCTACGAACATTGATATATTGGAGGAGCCGGCCACAGTCGTACAGTCCGCGATAGAGCCACCTCGAACGCAGCTGACGGCCTCGCAACGGCAAGAAGCTGCAGGTATTCCACAACCACGACCCAACACTTCATCAACAGCTAACGGCAACGTCAAGACCACAGCAGCGAGCAACGATCGTGGTGGGACATCATCTGGCCATTCCCCAGGTCCACAAGCGCAATCCAACAATGATCCGACGCTCCTATCTTTCAAAGACTTTGTGCCGGCCACCATTGACTCGCAGAATAACGCGGCGGCAGAATCACAGGAGCTGGACAACAGTGTACTGGAAGATGTCTTTGATGGCACTCGGCCTTTACCTGAAGGTGAGGATTCCAAGATCCCATCACCTCCAGCTGGCACTGAGGACGAGCTTTTGACAAACAACGACAGCATACCACATAATTCGAGCCAATTGAGCTCAGCTTCGGTCGATGCGGGACATCGTAACACAACGATAATTTCTGATTTGGCGCCACAAGCTGCGCCACCCCCTGAACTGACACTTTCGGATTCGGACACTGAAAGTAGCGAAGACGGAGATGATCCTGGCAGGAGTGGCTTCGGAGTGGCGATCGCCACCAGAAATAATGCGAATGGAGGCAACGAAGAACAAACAAATGCGGCGGATGGGCCAAGAGAAGATCAAAGATCTGATGATACGACGAGCAGCCGAAGTCCTTCTCCATCAACGCCAATCGCCAACGTACCCAGCAACATCCCCGCTGCTGTGCTCGCAGCCATAAATGTAGCCACTGGAAAGTCGCCTATCTCGTCAGTGAAAAGGCGCAAGATGACTGGTAACAAGAGCACTCATTTCTCGACCCCAACCAGGCCGAGACTGCCCGAGCAGAGTCAAACACCATCCGGGAAGCTCCCAGTCTCATCTCGCCAGCACCGTTCAGACCCAGAGTCGACAGAGCAGCAGGAGAGTGCCCATCTGTCATCGTCAGTCAAGCACGAACCAGCAGATGCGCCGCCGTCTGTACGCAAAAGAAGATCGCCTGCGAAGAAGACAGGGACCATTAGCGAGCACTTCATTGAGGACCGTGTAGATCTGTATAATACGACTGCTGGGAAGAGGCGCAAAGTCCCTGCTGGACAATCTGGCAATCCCTTCCCACCCATTGGCCAATCATTTTTTGGCATCATACAGGAGAAGACATGGCAAGAACCCTTCTGGATGATCGTGGCAACTGTTCTTCTAAACAAGACCACTGGCAGGCAGGCAGCCCCAACATTCTGGAAGATCAAGAGGAGATGGCCAGAGGCTGCGGATCTTGCCAACGCCGACTACGACGAGCTCTTCGAGATGATCAAGCACCTTGGTCTACAGCATCAACGAACGAAGAGATTACAAGCTCTCGCTGCTGCTTGGCATGCCGACCCACCTCAAACTGGTAAGAGGCATAGAACGCTTCACTATCCTGGCAAGGGGGACGGCAAGCAATTCAAGAAAGACGAGACGATAGAGGAAGATGCAGACGACTGCGCCGGAGCCCTCGAGATTGCTCATATTCCTGGATGTGGACCGTACAGCTGGGACAGCTGGCGAATCTTTTGCCGAGATGTGCTGCGTGGAGTGGCCGAGGACTATCGAGGTACCAATTCCAAGCAAGATGGCTTCGAACCAGAATGGAAGCGCGTTGTGCCGGGAGACAAGGAACTCCGAGCTTGCCTGCGATGGATGTGGCTGAAGGAGGGCATTGTGTGGGATCCTCTGACTGGTAACAAGAGAGACGCAACAGCTGAAGAAATGGAGAAGGCGGAACGAGGAGAAGTGGAACTTGAAGACGAAGTCGAGGCTAAGTTTGCTGCGCAAGCTGCTGGGGCGGACATTTCCTCGCCTGAGAAGGTCACGAGAGGGGACTATGCTTTAGATCAAGAGTCAAGGAGGGAGCTACGGGCATTGGATATACCCATCGATGGTCCAGCCACAACACAGGAGGTCGACAAAGGCGCTGACTGGGCTCTCAAGAATTCGCAGGCGCAAACGACTGATGCGGAAGGCTCTCAGCGGGAGGCGAGCTCCACCAAGGAGCCTGTCACGAATGTTGGCAAATCGAACATTGTTCAGCGGAAGCGAAGGAAGACAAGCGACACTCGGGATGAGCAAGTTCAGTCTGAGGCAGCGCCAGTGACGACAAGGAGGACGAGGGCCAAGAAGGGCGATGTTCAACATGAGGAGACGACAGAGTCGCCAGCTGTAAAGAAGACGGCGCCTGTGAAGAAGAGCGAAGCGACCAACACAGTGACAACTAGACGGCAAAGTGCTCGACTGTTGGAGAATACTGGTTTGGTGTAAATGTTCGTTGGAAACGCACGAAGAAACGAATGAAGGCGAGGAGAACTGGTGTCATGTCATGAAGTCGCATTGTAACATAGCTTAGCGCAGCAGGTCTAGCGGATGCTGCATTTGTAAGTATTGTACAGTTCGGGGAATGCCGCGTTCCCAACGAAGCGTGTAGCTGCAGAGCGCGAGCGTGATTCCCACACGAAGTCAATGCGCGTCGACTCGTGTAAGGGCCCATTTCCAGCTGCCTGCTCATACCGTCTGCGTACCATAGCCTCTGATACGATCCGCAAAGTCCCAGCTCTGGTTCTCCAACTTCTCGCTCTCGTGCAACTCCACTCCCTTCTCGTCGATCACAGCGATGCTGTACTCGGGCATCGACCGCGCATCTCTGTAGAACAACACCTTCATGCAATCCTTGATCGCTTTGACCGCCTCTTCCCGTCCCAGCTTCTGGCTGGCCGCCTCATCAGGCACACTGCGCCTCAAAATCGGCTGAGCAAGATGAGCACCGAATCCCGTCGCCAGCGTAGGAGCGCTGAACGTCGTCCCGAGCAAATCAGCGGATGCGAGGAAAGGCTGGTTCTTCTCATCCAGACCTGCCACGAGCAGCGCATTCCACAGAGGGTTGAAGTCCGATCGACGCTTGTACATGACTTTCGCGAGATATGTGTGCAAGTTCTTCGCGCTCATGATGGCATCTCCTTCGTCTTCGTGGCTGCTGGAGCCGTAGTTCTCTTCGACGTCCAGCGATTTGAGCAGGCGGTCGATGTATTGCATGTCGGAGACATCGCCGCCGAAACCTACGACGGATTTGCGGTTGAAGGGCTTCAGGCGGTGGACGTCTGTGAAGCGGGCGAGGGAGCCGTATGAGGCGAGGTTGTCGGCGGCGATCACGACGCCGGATTTGAATTTGAGGGCGATGACGGAGGTTCCGGTTACGATGGGAGATTGGGTGTGCGTGATGGGTTGTTGGGTGCCGCCGTGGGATTGTGGGAGGTAGGAGGTGTTGTAGGCGCCGTAAATGTCATCGCGAGGCTAGTATTCCGATTAGTTTGAGAGGATGGATCAAGTGATGATGGAGTGCAGCGTACTCTGCCCCAGCCGTGCGGGAGGTGGTTCATGATCGCGGCGATGAGACTGTGATGGGCGGCGGATGTGGAATGGTATTGGCGAAGTTGGAATTGGCGGCGGCGGAGCTGTTGTCGTTGTTGCTAGTTTGGTTGTGTCGATGGATGCTGTCTCCAGCGAGCTGTCTGGAGCTGCGTGCTGTAGGCGGCGATGCAAGTCGCGTTCACGTCAAAGCTCCAAACGAGGCAGGTGCGCCGAGGAGCACTTGCATGTGCAAAACAACACTTCGACTTCGACCACAAAACAAGGGACTGAGCACAGTCCTCTACAACACAATGAACGCACTTGTCGCGTACGAGAGCAGCGATGAGGAAGAAAACATCCAGCCTGAGAAGCCGGCCGAGGTAGGCGACTGCTAGTCACTAGAGTGGAAAAGTACGGATGCCTACTAACAATGGAGACTGCTAGACAGTAAAAGTCACTCCACCACAACCGGCCACAGGACCTGTACCCCAGCCAGCTCCAGCATCAGTGCCGCAATCAGCACCGAAGTCTACGACAACCGCCCAGCCAACGCCAATTGCAGATGCACCTCTCCCAGGACCGGCTGCAGGTCCAGCACCGGCCGCACCTGTGCTTGAGCCTTTAGCGGATACTTCTTTCGATCCCTACGCATTCGAGCGACAGCGCTTGCGGGAACTCACGATGCCGACTCTACCAAACTTTGATATTCCCGACTCGCCTCCGCCTCCAACGAGAAATAGTGAAGAAGCAGCAGTGCTGGCGGCCACAACTAAGAAATTGGAACGCTTCCTCGAACTGAAGAAGCAGGGTGTTCACTTCAATGATCGACTACAGAGTACAACGAGTTTGCGGAACCCAAGCTTGCTACCCAAGCTGATGGACTTTGCTGGACTTACACGAGAGGACGGCTATGCCAGCAGTATGAGTGAGGAGGTAGCCGTTCCTGTGAAGTGGCCCGAGGAATGCTACATCGAAGCTCTGATGCAGCAAAATGAACGGAGAGAAAAGAAACGACTGCGGGACAGGGATCACGTCGATTTCGTTCCGGCCAAGAGCGGAGGGAGCAGTGCGAGCGGCACTCCTGCTGGCTCTGCTGGACCAAAGAGGAGCAAGTTCGATGCCAAATGATTGCAGCGATGCCCGATCATCAACTCGGCACGGTGAAGACTTGATATTTCGAGGACAACCCAGCTCTTACGGGAAACGTGGTCGAATGCAACCCATATCCGTTGATACGCTCACGCCTCGCCTGATCTGTGCAACGCTGCTTCATTGCCTTGCGGGGTACAGCACGCACCACTTCCAGTCAGAGCGACTGAAGCCGTGTTTCAGGAGACACGCTCAAGGGACGTTGACCCCAGTCGATGTGCGCCAGTCGCGGTAACGAGGCATACCTTGCCTGTCATTTGGCATTGACTTTGCTCTCGAGCCCTGACCCGTGTCAGCGCTGATATGGCTGTCCATGAGCCAGCAAGAAGTATGGCTGGGCAAATTCGGCTACCAGGATGGCGATTTGGAGCTGGTAGAGCTTGTAAGCTTGACGCGCTTTCGTGAGACTTTCGTGAGACTTCAGTATAGAACGGCGCGCGAGCCATATGAACTCGGACCACTCCTTTCCAATGCAGTAGCATGACACAACTCGAGCAACAGTTGAGTTGAGAAGCAAACACGCAAGCTCAGCAGCGGATAGCTCCAATCCACAGGAACACGGTACGACCGAGTCTCCATGCAGTCCTTCATCGACGATTTACCCCCTTCCGAGAATCGAGCAACGAGCTGACTGTCTCCCGGGCTACAGGTCGCCATGAGTGTTCCAGACGAGGTTATATACCATTCGCCAGTTTCTTCAAGCGACTTTGAAGAAGGCGGGCTCGAGGTTGTAGATGGTCTCGACGACTCTACCTTCGAGGCGCTGCCTGGACCAGACTATTCCTCCTCGATCGCATTTCCATCTCAACCACTACGAACTGAGAACACGGCAGGAGGCAGTGTACCATATCGGCTACAATCTGCAGGCGATGAGGTTGAACAGACTACAGCAGCATCGTGCTCATACCCAACACCTCCGACATCGAGGTCCTCTTCGCCTGTGAGACGAGAATGTCCGCCACTCGAGCCTAAACAAGATGCAAGTCGCTTTTGGCCAACGCCAAAAGGCGCCAATTTCCCCGGTGCTCTGGAGCTTGATCTTCTACCTGTGCAGCAGATGTTTCAGAACCTTTTCGTTGGCATCATGCAGCTCACACCTCAGCAATCACAGCTTGAAGTAATATCATCCTCACCCGAGTCACTGGCACCTGCCACGCCTGTACGCAACGAAAATGTCACTGAGAGAGGGACTTTCAACATGGAAACGCCACCGGACTACGCAAAAAGTGCGGCCTTGGACTTTGGCACGGAGATGCTCAATGATCTCGATGATCTACTCGCTGCTGGGCCGATTGTTGACCCTGCTTATGACAGTATTCTGCCCAAGACTCCATCGCCTGCAGGTTCGCCGTCGTTGCGGCAAGAACAGGCGACGACGAGGACGTCAGTCGGTGAGAGACAGGACTGCCTCGAACGCACACTGGATGACGAGCTCCTCGACATGGCAGAGAGGATTGAACTGCCGTTTTCTGACATGCCACCGCCTCCTCGCAGCGCATCAGTAGTGAAGACTAAAACCGCCACTGATGGTCTAAAGAAGAACGACCTACCGAATCGCCCTCGGCCACTTCTCCAGCCCGCCGAGATTCGTCAGGTGCATCCTGATGCGCCCACGAATACGGATCCAAACCAAGATCGTAGTGCCGAGAGAACGTCTGAGAGTGAAGTCGAGGTCATAGTTTTGGGGGAACCGTCGCCGTATGAGAAACCAACACCTTCACAGTTTGAGTCGGATCTCCAAACCGGCGCCGCCAAGGTCATCAAGCTACTTTCCGATCAGCCTGCTCCCTGTCAATGGGCATGCATCAGAAAGAAGACGGTTTTGCAGAGTGGCGCTACTGAACCGGATGCGAAACCACGAGCAGGAAGGAGGAAGAAGCAGAAACGTGCTCGCGATGCTCGAATGCCAGTTGATGGCACTGGGTTCGTTGAAGACGTCCCGAGCACCCAAGACCAGTTGATTCCTGAGAAGATAGAGAAGCAGTCTGGGACGGCAGCCGAAGCGGAATGCTCGAATTCTACGAAGCCCCGAGAACTTGAAGTGCAAGCAAATGCTACAGTATCTATTCCTACTACGATCATGTCTCCTGCCAAGATGCATGAGGACGTAAAAATGCCAGACGTTGGCAATGAAGTCGACATCGAACGGAATGTCATTTCTGCAACAGATGGCAACACGTGTGTGGCTGCCATTCAAGAGCTTCTCAAGACGGACGCACAGCTACCAGCGCTCACAGAGTTGCCCGTCATGGAAAAGCCTGCAAGTCATCCCATCAGCATTGCTGCAGTTTTGAGCGCTTCTCCACCCGTACCGGCCTTCCAGGACGATGGTCCAAAATGCTTGAAGGGCACACGCGAATGTGGTCTTGCCAAAGATCAGCCCACACCTCATGAGAAAGAGTTGCCAATCTCGAGATCCACGTCAGCTCTGGCTACAGCGCATACGTCCAAGTGCCCAGGAGATGTCGGCGATGTGGAGAATCCGCGCAAAGCCACAGACGCCGGGTGTCAGATGGAATCCGAACCATGGCCTTGCGCAGAGCCAGGCTGCAATCGACCGAGTGAGCGATGCTTGATCAACGAACGTAACTTGGGCTGTGAAAGCTTTGTGGCTCTGGATAGCGGCCGGACAATCATGCACAGCAGTACGTCAGTCTCTCCAGTGGGAAGCACATACTGCTGGCGGTGTCGACTCGAAAATAAAACGAGGAGGAAGCAAAGCACCTCCTGGGCCATGCGTGAAGCTGTTAGAAGACAAGAGGAAGCTTCGTGGCTGCTTGAGGAGCGCCGAAGGATTGAGCGGTGTCGTTCCAATGGGCTCACTAAGCGCGCGTTGAAGACTGCTGCGAAGAAGCGCAAAAGGGCAGAGATGCAGTCTGGCGCCAGAAACTCCGAGACTTTGCCCGAGCGGATGATGATGGAAGCGGCTCTCGAGCCTGCAGAGGCAACGACTTTCGCTCAGCAGACCTCTGGGATCGTTGCGGATGCGTTTTCGCGTAGCGCAGGCACAGCATTGTCGTTGGTGAAAGAAAATGTGCCAACATCTGATGTTTTAATGACAGAGCCTGGAGTGGAAGACGGGAAGATCACGGTACTGTGTGGAGCAGCAAGCAACGCAGACACCGCTGTACCTGCACGGCGTCCGATGCAGGATCCTTCGCCTCCCGCCCTACGCGAAGGTGAGAGTGCTTCAGACCCAACCGCTTCGCCTGAGCATCGAGGGGAGGCAGATACGGTATCCAAAGTGGCAGATTTGGAAGCTGCGCCGCCACTTCGAGATGAGGAGCAGGTTCACCAGCTTCCAACGCAGGATGCTGAAATCACATGTCCTGCCTCACCAAGGCCCAGGCCTTTGAAGCCAGATCTTCCGGCTTGCAAAAGCCCCTCGAGGGCCGTTGTTGTATCTCCGCCCTCTGGAGCGGGCCTACTCCTCACGATGCCAGTGACAGTGCAGGCCGTGGCTTCATGTGACCTTCATGTTGGGGTTTCAAGGACCGCCGGGGTCGAGGAGGGATCCAAGCACGATGCAGGATCGGAACGTCCACAGTCTCGAAGCTCTGCTCCAGGGTCATCTTCGCCGGTTCTGGGTGCTACGTTCACGGCCGTTCATGACTTACCGGGATCAAACAATTCGTCCCCGCGAACATCGCCATCGCGGTATGCCTCGCACACGCCATCACCGCTGCGCTCGGTCCAGAGCGTCGAAGACACACCGCCGACCTCGCCTCCTCCTCACATACACGCGTCTTCGAATTGCGGTCAAGAGCTCACCGCCCTGCCGCGCGAATCGAGTGCGATAGCTTCTGTTACTGCTGACGCGACCATCGGCATGCCACGACCAACGTCTGTGCGAGCGTCACCTGTTCCCTTGGGTCTCGAAGAAGAGGCAATCGATCCGCTTGCGTCCACAGTGCTCAAAGCACTCCAAAGTCATCGACAACTCGATGATGGGCAGACGCCAGTCCACCTCCACTTCTGCGTGTGCGGCAAGGGCCTGGCCAGATTTCCAGAAAAGCTGCCTTGCCACCAATGCATTAATGAAGAGTACTGGCGGTACCTGGACGAGCTCGATATCGAGAACAAAGAGAATATCCCTACGATCGACAATTTCATTGAGCCAGAGCACGAGACTGCACGCTCTGTCGACCTGTGTCGATTGTGCCGCAGCCTTGTGACGTTTGATGAGCAAGGGCTGTGTGTACCATGTGCGAATCCGATCCTTACTGGGTCGGAAGAGTCTTCGAGACCGCGGAAGAGGCGAAGGGTAAAGCAGGGCACACAACAGCGGCTACACGAATCCTCTGAGCTGTCTGTTGAGGCCGACGGCGCAGTGAGCGTTGAGCGTGACGTTTTGAACACCAAGCGAAGGCCTTTGAAAGGAATCTTGAAGCGTCGTTGACTCTCTAATATTCAAGCTGGAATCTATGTCAAGAACCTTCTTGTAATAGTGCTACTGCATTTGTATTGTTGGAAGAAGTCATGTTATTAAAAGAAGTCAGAATTGTCATCAGTTTGTGCAGTCTTGGTCTTTCCCCGCGCTGAGGTCTCTAATGCCACTACCCCTAGCCGCAGTTGCAGAACACACCAAGTGCAGCTCTTGAATTTCTACATATCTACTTTAGCGACGTCCACTTCCAAGCTTGGCACGACAATCGGCCTCTTCATACATCAAGTGCCACAGCCCTTGGCCCTGTCAATCGTTGGACCCCCCGGCAGTGAATTCTGATATCTAGAGCCAGTTCCAGTGAGGCAAGACATGCCATCAACCCGAGCAAGAACTCAATTTCCAGTATTAGGACGGCGGCAATGAAAGTGCTTCTTCGAGCCCTTAATCCCCCAGCACACTTCGATGCCCTTGGGCGAATATGCCAAGATTCTAAAGCCCCACATGTCTGTGAGGATGCACCGAAACCAGTCGTTACCAGACAGAGCCACGGCGTTGAGATCATTCTCGCACTTCCGGAAAGCCCTCAAGTTGTTCTTGATCGGTTGCCACTGTTCATTACCACCGAGCTGCCACCAAGATTCTCCGCAATGATAGCCAGTAAGATTGTCCGCTGTGGAACTAGTATTTAGTGCAAGGTCCGATTAGAATGCACAGGCGGTGGAACTCACTCCTAGGATGTTCTTCGAGCACTGCTTTCAACTCCGCAACGCATCGGACGAGTTCTGTGGAGTTCGCGTTGGTGGATCCTGCTGCCACGATTTGCTTCTTTGCCGATGCTAGGCCTGCTAGGCTAGCAAGAGTGAGGAGGTTCATCCACTTCATGTTAAAGGATGCTGATATTCAGCTGGAAGATGTCGTCCTTGGTTCGATGTTGGAAAGCCAGTTCCGAGGTAGTTCTTGCCAAAGCTTTGTAGGAGAGATTACTGGGGGCGGCAAGCATGAAGATATAAGATAACACTCCGACAAGTGATTGCCCGCCGGAGCCTGAACACGTCGAAACTTGGTGCCTTGTACCCGTATGCGGTGGGCAATACAATGGAAGTCGCAGAAATCGGTGTTGCTTCTTATTCGTCCCATAAATGTCACAACCAGCGGTAAGTCGAAACTTACTTTCACGCCGTAATCGTCTTAGGAAAGTGTGTCCCCTCATCTATACTCAAGCCGCGATACGCAAACGATCCCGCCCATGAAGCTCTACTCTCCACGACATCGTGTAATCGACGAACAACCGCGAGTATACGGGTTACCACTTAGAGCTGCTGGCCTGCAATTATTTCTGCTCGCGCCTCGGAGTGAACATGGGATGCTATTTCTCTGCAAAGTGGCGTAAGAGATGTATTCCGAGCGTGCTTTGAGGCTGTTTGAGGTTGTCTCTGGGCTGCTTCGAGGTTAGAAGGAGGTCGGAAGATGTGGGAGCAGTCTTGCCTGATTGGAGCACTCTGGGACAGTGCGGCGAATATGAGAACTATTGCTGTAGAGAAGTGCATCGTGTTACGTTCGGGGATGGTTCTGAGTGCTTGTGGATGCTTAGCAGATTGCTCTCCAGGTGGCGGATTATTTGAGGAGATCATATGTGATGGACTGCACGGCGTTTTCGACTGCGCACGTGGGCGCTCCGAACATCATTTCCCTCGACATAGTGCTCTGAATGGTCTTCAACGGGCGAGATCTACCTGTGCTACTCTTATCGCCGTTCGTTGATGATGGCAGAGCTAGTCAGCATCGGAAATTCCGTATGGCCCTTCTCTCAGAGCTTCGCTGCCATTCGTGTGACATCGCAGCGAGGATGTGTTCTTCCCTTGTGATTTGAACGTGGATTGGCCTCTGATTGCAAGCCTGGTGACGCAGAACTCTACCAGGTGAGTTTCCTGCCTATCTCGGTGGGAGCTTGGGCTTTGGCAGAGCGTAGGCAGGTGCAGGTGCGATCCAGGCGCTAGACATGCGCGGAGTCTATTCCGTTTCCATGCCTCTAGCCTTAAGGCATTTTCCCAATACTCCGTGGAATCTCGTGAACGCCGAGCTCTGGCAGACACCCAGATTCGAGGGCCGCTCGCTAGATTGCTTGATGAGTTCTCGCACTGATAGCTTTCTCCTTAGGGCCAGTCGTCTTGTGTAGTGTCCTGATGCACTCGATCCGGCCTGTGCCCTTGCTGCAATCACCTCTCCCCAAACCTCTCCACAGCAAACAAAAGTGAAGCTGGAACATCCAATAGAGTGACGTTCATTCTCAACATTAAGGTATTAACACATATCTGAGTCTTCTACCACGACCGAATCTGTCGCGCCGCGCAAAGAATTTTTCCCCATCTTTTGTCTACCAGAAGCTCTAAAACATTGGAAAATAAAATAAAAAGCAAAAGCGAGAGTGCCCCTCCGATTGCCTTGCACCCTCGCCACGAAAGATTGCCGACGTTGCTGCATCCAAGTTCCAAGCAAAGTCCTTATCCCAGCAAACCCGGTTTTGTATCCACGCAATGCAATTATGAACAACAAGATTCAAGGGAAAAAAATGTACCAGACGACCAGTCGCATGCGGGTATCGTGATCTTGTGGCAATGTCTAAAGATGGTCGCAGTCGTGTCCTCGTCCAAGTATTCAAGCGTGTCTCGACACAAGGTGTGGCTCCATAACGTGTCGATTCGCACTCATCATGCTTCTTCGAACACTTGTAATCCGTACGGTAAGCCTCCTACGGGCGGATGTCTAGTCCATGGTCTGGTAGAGCTCGCTCAAAGCCGGCTCGTTACTAGTGGTCTTCTCCTTTCTGAAACTCCATTTTGACTTTTTCTTCTCTTCGCGCTTCTTCTTCATGTCGGCCCAGCCTTCGTCCTCGTCTTCGTCAGCAGGTCGACTGGCAACTTTCGGTGCACCCTTCGGCTTGTCCACTACTCGTATAGTTGACTTTGGCGCTTGAAGCGTGTTCGAGCCGAAAGGTGTGCCCGGGAGATTCGTAGAACTCTGCTGTTTTGCGAAGGCTTGCAGCGTCATTGACGATGTCATGCTCTGCGATCGCGAAGCCTCGCCATTTTGGGTTACAGGTCTGTATCTGGAGGGCATGCCGATATTGCTGCGTTCGCTGGGCGCGATCGAGGGCGTGTATCCAGGGCCTGGTCCATTGTGTGACATGTTGAGGCCGTGGACTGATGGTGCATATCCATTGCCGGTCATTGGCATTGCGCTGCTGGGGCGTGGACCACTTGGGTTCGCTGCACTGCCCCAACCGCTGGGTGGGTTAGTCATGGTCATGCTACGGCCTTGGTTAGGCGGCCCAAAGCCTTGTTGGCTGGCCATGGACTGTGGCCTATTGGTGCCATCAAAATTCACTCCGAGGTAGTCGCCCGTTTGCTGAAGATGTGGTGGCTGTGCCGTTGGTGTCATTTGTCCCGTCATCTGCGCTTGTTGCATATTCAGCATGTTCTGCATAAGTTGCATCTGCATTGCCATGAACTGCTGCATCTGCTGCTGGCTCGCATCTTGTGGCATCTGAGGCATTTGTGGCATCATCCCGGGCATTCCTCCCATCATCATGGGGTTCATCTGCGGCATCGGGGGCATGCCGCTGGGGCTGTATGTAGCGGAGGGCATGATGTTGCCCATTGACATGGCGCGTGGCATGTTTGGCTGCATCATGTTTGACGGCAGCGGCATTGCCCCACCCATGATTGCAGCAGTATTTGGGCTGCCCCGGCGAGCAGCTCGTGCCTTCTCTTCTCCAGCAATGACGCCCACCAGACCGCCAGGATGTCCAGCTCCAGGGCCCATGAGCGGAGGCGCACTTGGCGGCATGCCAACAACGGATGCACCCGAGTGATTGAGGGCCAGAGATTCGCGAGTGCTCGGGTTTACCAAACCTGCACCAAAATATGGATCCTGAGGAAGTCGTCGAGCGAAGGGTGGCAGATTTCCTTGCCCAGCGCCTCCATTCAGCACCGAACCTGCAACCGATGTGCGTCTCTGTTGGAGATCGTTCTCGCCCAGTCTCGTTGGAGGGCGACCGCTACCCGGGAAGTTGTGCGCCTGTAGTATTCCAAGAGGCACGTCCTCGTCCTCGTCTTCGTCCTGGCGACCGCGAATTGACGCCTCGGGAGGCTGTCCGCCAATACCGCCAAAGTGTAAGATGCCTCCAGGCGTGCTCGAGCCACGGTCCATGGATGGCCGCACAGTTGACGCTCCGGAAGAAGGCAGGTCAGTCGGACCACCGCCTGTGACCTTTTTCATCTGCTGCCGGTAGACTGACATGTTCGCCTCTTGCTTGCGCCGCTGTGTGGCCAAATTCTTCGCGCGCTCAATCTCATCTTCTTCATCGTAGTCCTCATCGGACGAGTTCTCCTCGCTCTGCTCTGCACTGCTTCCTCCTTGTTGCACCATGGCCTGATACTGCGCCTTTGTCATGGTCTTTGCGGCGCCACTTTCGGTGCGTCGATGAACACCCGGGCGAATGGCTCGAGACGCTGGTCCCGCTGGTGACACGTCGAACATCGAATCTTCGTTCAAGGCCCCGAGCTTGCGAGCAGCTCGCGGTGTGGTCGTGTTCGAGTCTGGGGCATCTCCCGTCGAACTGTGGGGTGATGTAGGACCACCTCTGGATGAGGTCTGTCGTGGGGTTGAGATTGTGTTCACGTTAAGCCTGCTGTTCGAGCCGGAGGAGGCTACGCCGCGGCTTTGTGGTGCATCGCGTAGTTCAACTCTTCTCGTCCATCGATCTTCATCGTCGACCTGTGCCTGGCGATTGGTGTAGGCCGGCTCTTTGCCTTTCGCCTCGGCCGCCATGAAGCCCGCGGACAGGTCTTCCACGGATTCACTGGCAAGTCTGGGAGAGGTGTGTCGTTCGGGTAGGCGCGCGTAGCCGGCCTGGGAACCGCCAAGAAACGTTTGGGAAGTGCCGCCTGGAGCGGCTGGTCCGGACATGCCGTCTGGTAGGCTTGGAGAGCTTAAAGCGGACGTCGAAACCAGCCCGTCGTTGGAGTTGCCGTCATCCCACGAATACGGAGAGCTGCTGTCAGCTCGAGACAGCTTGAGAGGATTGGGTGACGGTGTGAGGGCGTCTCTTGAGAGTGTCCTAGGGGGAAACATGGGTCCCGACCCCTGTTTCGTATATGGATTATTTTCTGGTACCGAAGTCGACCCATTTACAGTGCGGTCAAAGCTGCCGACCGCAGGTGGCGGTGACCGCACTGGCTCCTTCTTCAGGCTCTCGAACATGTTGCCAAAGTCATCGCTGCCAAAGTCTGAACTGGATAGTGTGAGCTCCGAATGCGTCGGTACGGCGGTGCTGGCGTAGCTACTCGTGGTCATCGCTCGTTCCCTCTGCGGGCTGCGATCCCGCAACGAAGGGATGTGTACGCCATTGGCGTGTGGCGGAGGGAGTGGAGGAACGTCTTTGGAGGGCGATTTGCTATGCTTGTTCGTGCCAAAAGAGAAGGCTCGCGCTGCACGGGAGGAGAAGGTCGGCGGCGGTGGTGGAGGCTCAGTCGCGAGCGTGGACGCTGATTGGAACATGCCCGTCGTGGGAGTCTTTCGAGGGTGAGGGAAGAGCTCCTCGTCGTCGGCGCCTCGATGGTCTTGGTCCAAGGAGGAAGGCAGCGTCGAGGTCGAACTGTGCCTTGCCGAAGCGCTCGAGCTTTCGTAGTATCCACTACTGCCGGAGTTGGTAGTGCCGCCGCTGCCCCTAGTGCTGTTTAGTGTCCGCTCCGCGAGCTGAATACGGGCAGTGGGTGCTACCGACCTGTTTTGACCCAGCGTGGTCAAGTTGTCAACGCTCTTGCCTCGCAATGCAGTCAACGGAGAGTTGAAGGTCTTGCCGCTGCTGAGAGGCTTCTCCCGGCCATACGAAACAGACTTCTTCTCCGGCCGCTCAAGCACACGGAAAGACGAGCTCTGTGCAGAGGGCGGAGCTCCGTCTCGCTCTGGCTGGTCAAAGTCGAGAGCGTTTCCGGAAGACTTGCGCCGGCCGAATCCCTTGAGATTGAGTCCCTTTGGCATAGAGCCGGTATTATGGATGGTATGGTGATAATGCTGTGCAGTGCAATGCCGCGGCGTGTGGTCGCAACCGATGCCCGCTGCCTCGACCAGCTATTGGCCCATGAAAATGATGCGTCGCGCGGTATGTACAGCAGAGGAGGAGGGCGTCGCGGAAACGGTCGGCGGATCGGCAGGTGGACGAGCGAGTGGTGAGGGCGTCTCAACGAGTGGAGCTTTCAAAGGTCTGCCTGGCGCGGCGTCAGTCAGGCTCGTGGCCCCGGCGAGCGGCTGGCGGAGCGTAGATGCGCGGCGGA